TGCTGTGCGTGTGCAGGCATAGGAACATGAACCTTATTAACTCACCCCACCCCACCGGTAACTGATCATGAAAGAGCTGTGCCTGTCTCTGCTCTACGGGAAGAAAGATGATGAGGTTGCTGTGCCTGTGTGTGCATAGGAACATGAACGTTATCATCCCCCCCCCCCCCCCCCCCCCCCCCCCCCCCCCCCCCCCCCCCCCCCCCCCCCCCCCCCCCCCCCCCCCCCCCCCCCCCCCCCCCCCCCCCCCCCCCCCCCCAACCAAACCCGAAATGGCTGGTTCCCAGCCTCAATGTGCGCGGATGACCGCTCTTTGTGCGCGGATGACGCGGTTTCTCTGTGCGCAGATGACTCGTTTGCAATGTGCGCAGATGACTCGCTTTCAATGTGCGCAGATGACGCGTTGACCTTCTACACGGGGTCATAACCCTAGCGGCCCTTGTTTTTTTTTGGACGATGACCGAAGACGTCTATTCTGTCCATCTTGGGGATGGTTTTTTTTAACCTGGGCATCAGGTGTCGTCAGTTTGGAATGGATAAATAAATGGGTTCCAGAGCGTGATCCATCCGTCGAACCAGGCATCACCCGTCAACCATCGTCAACCTCCATGTAAATGATGGGTTAAGAGTGGTCAAGGGGGATAGGACCTACCCTGCAAATAAGGTTCTTTCAGGTTGCATAGATTTGGGGGTTTCCTAAAATATGGATACCCCCAAAATCACCAATTTTAATAGGATTTTCCATTATAAACCATCCATTTTGGGGATCCCCCATCTATGGAAATCATCCAAGTCAATAAACAATTTTATCGAAAGCTTATTGAAAGCCATGGTGACTTGGGGATCCTTTATTTTAAGAAACCCATAGGTCACCACACTTCCAGCGGCAGATTCATCGCACTTGTTTGTTCAACGCCAGGTGCGGTGCGCTTTCAACAGACCCGCTGGGGAAGCCCAAGCTGTTGTGAGTGTGTGAAAATATCAACTCCCAAAGGGGGGGGGAAATGGCTTTGTAAATAACAGGGGTTGGTAACTGTCCCATTTTGTGAATATTGGACATCACCTTACATAGTTATAGTAGCCATTATAGACCATATACCTAATGGTTGGGTGATGTTCAATGGGGACATTTAATGACCCATGAATAAAAATGATGGTTCATATGTCTGGGTAAATTTCAGCACGACCTCACTCACTGTTCTCCGAAGCCTGGAATTCATGGTAAGGAAGATCATCCCCATTCATGGCCGAACTATTCAGGTTGGTGAAATATTATAATTTACCCAGATATGTAGATTGGTATTATCTCATAATGGCTCTTCAGGTTTATGATGGGGATTCTGGTTTGATGCTGATAAGCAACCCCAAATATTGATGGAAAAATTGCACACCTGTACATTGTGGCGGGAAATATCATTATCTGGTGGTGAATTCCTGATTTTTGACGGTCCGCTCGCTGTTTTTAGGGGGCTCCGCCATTGGGATCCTCACGGATATCGCAAAATGCCAGTTTATGGCGAAACCGAATTGTAAGTCCGATATTGCTTATTACAGCCCCTATTTGAGGTTAGATATCCCACATGATATGCCCATGATAGTTGGGTTGTCCCATATATTCCCACATATTTGCAATATTTCCTACATCTACTTGCATGTATCATCATATATCTGCCATCTTTTAACCGTGGCACGTATCAATTTTAAGTACCACTCTTATCCCTAATATTAACCATTTATCAACCATTATCCCGATTAATTATTTTCCTATGATTTCCCTATTATCCCATCATTTAACCATGATTCACCATCAAATTAACCATGATTCACCATGATTACCCTCTGTTAAGCTAGCATAACAATGGAAAGATCCATCATTTTTAATGGGAAAACTAACTATCAATGACCATTTTCAATAGCTTTATTGTTAGTTTACCAGGCCGGGTATATCCCATGATCATTCCATTATCATTCCATTATCATTCCATGATCATTCCATAAAATTCACCATTGTTAACCAAGGAAAATCACCATTTTCCTATGGTTCTTACCAGGCTGGGTAAACCCATGGCCCCACAGGCCGTACTGCTGCGGGCTTTGGCTCGGCCTACACCTGCGGCTCCGAAGTGACCTGTGACGTGGCCGTTGAAAGGGAGGGGGTTGGAGGGTTGGACCAGCAGTTTTTGGTGGATGAAACCATGGAAAAAATGGTGGTTTTGACAGTTTGACATGGTTTAAGCCATGGAAAAAATAGTAGTTTTGACAGAGAAACATGGTGATGACGCCCAACCAACTTCGGATTTCACCAAGAAGATAACATCTAACTGGGTGAAATCCTTGGTGAAGGCATGAAATCCGTAAGATAACATGCGTTTCATTTACTTCCAATGAAACTTACAGATTTTTACTGAAGTAAATGGTGATTGGGCAAGATCAGGTCCAAACAAACAACAAGAATGGAATGATGAAGCAACCAGAACTGGGAGTGTAGCAGCTTAAACGTTGGATTTAAACTGCCCAGTTATGTTTGTTGGTTTATAACTTCCACATAGAGATATTTATCATAAACATACTTCATCTATTTATAATTATAAACCAACTTGGCTATCATTTTTTTTGGGGGACCCACTATACTGTGGTGTCTCTGTGTAAGGCGCGGGTCTCCACCGAGGGTTAAACCTCCAAGCATTGGAGTATGTTAGCTAATCCGCCCATGTTCAAAGGTTATACCTTCATCATACCTGTTTTTTGGGTTGAAACCAGCAAAGTAGGGTATCCCATTTCATCCGGCGAAGATTCCTTGGATTATCCCCTGATATCCTCAGGATTCCTCAGGTCAATCCCCGATTTTTGGGGGCGATTTGAACGGGTAAATCCCACGGCCTCCTCCAAAAATACCCAGGTTTTTTGTGCCGTGCCAACCGTGGCTTTCAACCTGCGTTCCTGGAGTCTGCGGGGGCCGCGCCCATCGATTGCCGGGACGTCCCAATTTCGGATGGCCTGGGCAGTTTAGCCTCTAAACATACCAAAAACGATGGGAAAATCCAGCATTTTTAATGGGTAAATCATGGTAAATCCACGATTTCGACTCGGCCATTTTCAATAGCTATGTTTCATTTTTAATAGCTTGTTGTGTTTTATATACCCTCTGGTAAATGTTTACATAACTATGGAAAGATCCACCATTTTGTCTGTAGCTGGGTAAATCCACTATTTCGACTGGGCCATGGCTTCAATAGCTTTTTGTTTGTTTACCAGGCCGGGTAGCGCAGAAATCGTGGCAACCTTTGCACCCCTCGCTGGGGTGAAGCAACAAGTATGATGACCTGGAATGATATGGTATATATATGTATAATTATATATATATATGTATATAATTATATATATATATACATATACATATATGTAAATCCCACTATAGTTCATAACAGTTGACTATTATAATGTCCATCAGTGTGCAGTAGTCTCCAGGATGTGCCAGGGTAAGTATCCCCAAATGGCTGAAGTGGGGTTGGAGGAAGTGTTGCAGGGTTGGTGAATTTTCACCAGGGGGCTGACCCATAGAGCCAGTCGAAGGGCGATGTTTCAGGAGATTATGGGGATACGTTTCCCACAGAATGGTTCTGTTCTGGGAAGACTGAATAGCTTGTGGGAAGTTATGACCTATATTGTGACTAGAGATGAGTAGAATAAACTGAAGCACCAAGTTATTCTTGACTTTTGGGACGAACTGAATAAACATGGCTTGGATCGGCAGCAGTATCATGTGATGCTACTAAACAGGCCTTCGTCAATGTCGCACAACGGATGTGTTGTGTTTGAGTGGAAAATCCTCTCAGCACCTCAGGATTTGCCTGGTATAATCCAGGTCTTTTGCCATCAAGATCTGTTTTACTTTCATGAAATCCGTTTTTTTTTTGTCGGCAGCTTCCTTTTTCCAACTCCCTGTAGCTGACTGATAAGACCCACTTTGTTGGTGAAATGCAAGTAACTGTAGATCAGCATCCCTTTCTTTTGTCGGGCTTCCGAACTTCATTTGGAGAGCCATCACCCCCGAAAAACCCTCTGATGATCTAACAATGCCAAAACCGCCATCGTTTAATAGGTAAAATCGGTAATTTTCCATTTCTATGTTTAATTACTGGTTGGTGGTTTGGAACATGATTTTTATTTTTCCATTCAGTTGGGAATAATAACCCCAACATACCCCAACTGACTTTCATATTTTTCAGAGGGGTTGAAACCACCAACCAGACTATGTTAAATTACCAAATTACGAACGGGTAGAGGTCCAAGTGCACTGAACATCAGTGAACCCCTAAAAGTAGTCTGCCCACATTCCCATCACCACGGCAGGCGGAGATTGGCACAACGCCACCCGCAGGTTCGGATGGCTGGCAGTAGCATTGCATGTGTGTGTAAGACTACAGAGAACCAACGCTTGGAACCACATGGGGGAATTCTGTAAAGGGGGAATCCCCGAAACCATGTCATTCTATAATTACTAAAATGGTCATCCATGACTTGGATGATTTAGGGTACCACCCTTTTAGGAAGCCTCCATGTGAAGATGGCATTGTTTTGGGGACATCAGGGGGCCTCGAGAAAGCGGATTCGGTCATCCCCTGATGGCGGTTTGCTCATACCGACTATGAGGAATCTGCAGCGTAGCTGACACTGGAGCGATTCAACAGAGATCAATGGCCAACAGCTGTCAAAAGGGATGGAATGGATCAACTGGAAATCACAAGGTCACACAAGACCTAACAACGAAAAGCACCCATGGCACTCGGCAGCTCAAACGCTGCTGTTTTCACAGGATCGCCGAAGGCTCAAGGCCTAAGGAGGTTTGGGCCGACACATCGGCAACCGCACGTAGATACCTGGGCGAATGGACCAATGGAAAGGATCAGTTCTGTTGCACCGATCCAAAATTCTTCTTGGTCCATGAGCTCTCAAGTCAACAGTTTAAAGCTGGACTGAGCTCAAAAAAAACATGCAAATCAGCTGGCAAACTTCTCTGTGGGTTTCTTCATCTGTGTGAGAGCATCCTTGCCTGCTCTCTTGTTCTTTCGTGCACTTGTCTCAAAGCCTGGGTTATATTGAAGCATCCAAACACCTGTGCGCATGAACTGAAGTAAACTTTTGCGACACTCTTGGATTTTCTTCGTCAGAGCATCTGCAAGGAGCCAATCACTAGCAAGCCAAATCAACCATGCTTTTGTGTCTGCAAACGATTGTTTCAGTTGAAAAGCTTGTATGGCTGATCTCACGTTTGACAAACCCAAATATGGACCTTCTTGCAGAGTCACTGCATCAAAACCACCTTTTGAGTCTGTGGCCACAACACCAGGGACTGCAGAAACTTCTTGCTCAGCAAAAGCTAAAAGATCAAGACCCTTTTCAGCGCCAGCACCATTCAGTTCAGCCCAAAGCAAACGAGCTCGAAAATTGACATCCTCAGCTTCCACCATTGCTTGAATCTCAGCATCATTGGAGGAAATTGCTACTCGGCGCAATTTCCAAGTACGCCATGAAACCATCACCAGACGGCCGGGAGAACCATCAAGGAGTTCCGGTCCGCCTAGAAAATTAATCAAACCACCTGTGGAAGAGCCATCAGGTCTGTTGTTGTGTGCCTGATCGCCCATTGTCACCACCACCATTTGTTGCCAATGGTTCACAGAGGGGATTCGATCAAAACGGAGACGGTGAGGATGCTTGCGAGTCTCGCGGATGACCTGCTGAATCTCTTGAGCCACTGTCATCTTTGGCTCACGTGCCAATTCAGACAACAAGAGATTGCATCTTGCGCAGATTTGAGGTTGAGTCTGCACGGCCAACCACTGCAAAGCACCTAAAGCTGAGCGACACTTGCCAATCTCTGACTTAGTGAGGACTGTCGCCGCATTCTTGAAACGGACTGGATCAATCTCCACATCAGCGAGGTTCTCCACATAAGAGTCCTGGTCAACCATGCTGTAGTTACCTTGGCTACCAGTCCTGTGATGGATGTCGGAGCCCACATAGCGGTAAGCGCCAACTTTGGAACTACCCCACTGATACTCACGGTCAATGGCTGCCTTGATTTTCTGCCACTTGGGATTGGTCTCATCACCGGATCTGTTGAAATCGTCAACATGACCAGCCATGTACCCAATAGTGCGGAAGCGATCCAATTGGTTCACCGCATTCGGGTTTTCCTCTACCCATATCCAGGCACATGGATCGCCAAGGACTTTGTGAGCTCCAAGTCTTCGCAGTCTACGGTCTATGTCAAGCCATAGTCCACGAGGAGCTGTAGTTGAACCATAAAAATCTTTGAGGATTCGCATGATGCCGCCCTCAGAGACGCCAAGTGCAGCACGAAGTTCACGCACTCCTGATGTCCATATGCGGTTCTGCTCCTGGTTCTTCTCGGTCTGGAGAAAAGCCGTTGAAAGATCCATGCCTTCGATTGGCCACTGGTTCTGCACGGAGAGCTGGAAGGTCAGGTGTCTGGTCAAAGTTGATTGAACAGGTGCAGAACTTCGGAACTCAGGATGGAGGAGATCTGGGTGCTGATACCCTAACAAGACGATGCGGGCTTTCGCCTTGCGATCGCCCGAAGGGGTGAACAAAGTGCCAGCATTCTCGTGAGCATCTTGCTGAGAAGCTTGCCGTTCATCTGGTGGAGTGTCTTTCCATGTCAACACCCACCGGCACTTCATTACACGGCCAGAGTTCTTGCCCTCCTCCTCTTCCTCCTTGGAGATGCACTTTCTCACGGCCTCGGACTTGAGAAAAGATGCCACCTCTTTGTCCTTTGCGCGGTCAAACAACTTCTTGAAGTCATCAGTGAGTCGCTCATAGCGAACTTCACAATCACGCATTTGTTGCACCAAGTAAAAGTTTGGCGCCTGGAGAAACTTCTTGAGTTTTCTGTGGCTTGAGAAATCCAACTCCATTTCCATGATATACCCAAACTCAGCTTCTTGGAGAGCAGCATGAAGATCAAGGGTGAGAGCGTTATCATCATCAGTCCGGGGTTTCTTGACACTATCACCAGTGACAATATCATCGCTATCAACAGCTGAGTGAGGACGCATAGGTCTCATGGATGAGGACGCCAAGGAGGATCTTTTGGAGGAGGCTTCGCGTGAGGAAACTTCTGACTCAAGGAGATCAGTTTTTCGCTTCACACCTGGGTCATTGAGAGAGTTGCCCAAGTCGTCTTCAAAAGTGTCATCAGGCACTTCTGGTAAGAAGTCAGTCTCTTCATACTCATTGACTGGTGGCAAAGCGGGAAGGCGCATTGCAGCACCCTTCAGCGCCTGAGCAGCTTTGTCATTGCCCTGCTTATCCGTTTTGCCGTACAGTCGGCATGAAGGCAACCATGTGGATTTATCTGGTTGAGCTGGTAGATCAGGAGCTTCTACATCATCAGCGCCTGGCTCATCGTCCAGCATGTCCACATAATCTCTTCGTGGGAGAAAATCAGTGATTGATTTCCACGACATCTCTTCGCCACCATGTTGAATTTCATGAAGAGCTTCTTCCTGTGAGGTTAGTGGTCTCACAGAGTGAACACTGCAACGGTGAGCTCGGCCGCCAAGAACAACCCATACCACATGGCGGCGGTCACCACCACTCTGGGAAGGCAATAGCTCTTGAAACAGAACCCTTCCAGGTCCCACCCAGTGAGGTTTGATGGTCTTGGTGAAGCCGCTGCGCTTTCCTTTGGCTGCTTCATGTGGAAGGGACTTTCGCCAGACTTTCACCAGTGTTGCAGGTTCAAAGTTCTGGAGAGGCTGTCGGGGACATGAGTTCTTCAGCCGCACAAGTATGTTGTTGGCGCGGACTTGCCGTGCCAAATTCTCAGCTTTGCGTCTGCAAGACAGCAACTTCTCAAATTCACTCAGTGGGTGAGCTTGTTGAAGTTGGAGATGAGTAGTGATGTCTTCATCAGTCCACTGAAAAGAGTGACCGTATGCCCACTGAAAGGGAGAAAAACCATGTGCGTTCTCCGTACTATTCAACGCCGCTGTGCTAAGGGCCAGACATAGTTCCAAGCTCAGAGTGCCGTCAGAGATGAAGATCTTGTCGGCCAAAAGCTTGGTTTCTTGGACTGCTCGTTCAGCAATTCCGTGAGCCCATGCCTCCTTCTCCACAGGCGGGCTCAGCCACAAATTGTTGGTGTGGCAAAACTCCCTGAAGGCCGCTGAGCACAGCGTATTGGCGTTGTCAGGAACCACCACCAGCGGTTTCGGTTTTTCCGCCAACCAGCCGCGACCAAAAGCTTCGATGACCATCTTGGCATTCTCGTTCCCTTGCTGATTGATGTCATAGACCATAAGAGGAACTGTGCTGCGAAACTTCGTTGCAGCATCAATCATCAATAGAAACTTCAGCTTCTTGCGCACGGACACGACATTCCACTCACCAACATCCATCATCACCATATGCCAGGCTTGAGGAAGTCGATTGGTTGATACTGGCGGAATCTTTCCGGAAGACGAACCCCCAGGTCTGGTCGCCTCGCATGCTGGGCATCGGAGACGAAGTGCTGCTTCAATCTGCCACTTTTCTTTGCCAGCTTCCCGCAAAATGCGAGCTAAATTCCTATTGCTAGGATGTCCTGAGGCCTTGTGAAACTTTTGAAGCTTGACATTCCACTCGGCAAGCTGCTTCGTGGATGGGATGATTTTGCCATCAGCTTCATGCTTCGACCACCGACCATGGCCATCTTGTTGCCAGCGTGACGAAGCCATTTGAGAGGGATTACTTGCCTTAGAGCTCTGCATGGATTGAGGCCGAAGATCTCCACCAGAGCGTTCATCTTGAGCAGGAGGTAGGACCATTTGTCCATCATCATCAGCCAAATCGGCCGGAATCGCTGGTGCATCTTCAGGAGCAAGCGATGTGGGTGAGTACCCCTCATCAGGAGGAACTTCAGCGATGTCATCAGCCATCTCGGCTGGATTCATCTCCCACAGTTGCTGTTCAAAAGTCGAATTGGGGACGTTGGAGTCCACGGTCAGGAACAGGATGGATTGCCAACGTTCTGGTACAAGTTGAGATTTCCAAGTCTTGGCAATCGCGACAACCATCTTCCAGGGATAGTAGCTGGAACGAGCTGTATCAGAGCTCTCGATCTGGAGATGTTGATGATTACCAACACACGTCTTGGCCTTGTAAAGGGCATGAAAACGAGCACATGTAGTTTTGACCAACCAACGCTTGAGTAGAGGTTCGTGTTCATGACCTGGACGACCACTAGTCAACCCATACCGACAACCATCAATTCGGCAGGGAAGCCAGTCGCGATCAAGTCGCCACAGGGCGTCTTGTAGATCAAGGAGAACCTGTTCATACCATCCTTGGCAATTGGCAGGCCATTCCCAAAAAACATGTACCGTATGATCATCAATGACATTGCGCTCCAGCCATTTCTTGAGGTTCCTCAACACTTTCCGCTCTTTGCGCCGCTTGGATTCCAAAAGTTCCACCCGCTCCGGAGTGTTATAGTTGAGGGAGGTCCAAGCACACCACAACGTGCACCGCATAGAAATCCAGAGCCTCTTCGGACGCTGAATCTTGTAGAGCTCGGTCATGGATTCAAAAGTGTGAGGACGGTTCAAATCGAACCCATTGGCCAGATTGATCCGCTGACATTTCAAACCTTCTTGGGTACATGCCTCAGAAAGCCAAGACTGAGGTGAGCAGCAAATCTCCCAAACATCAACCTGATGAGGCTCCACCACAAGGTCGTGGAAGTTGGTGAAGAGGCCAAGCATCATCAATTGGAGCACCTTCACCGCCGCCTTGCCCACCTTGATCGGGACATTCTCGATCACGGTTGAACCTCGGATTGGCTCTGCATCGCTTCGGCAGCACGCTGCTCCAAGGCAATCCGCTCCTCGGCTGAGAGCTGGCTCAGGAGATCCTGAGGTGTCACCACTGGAACTGATGCCACACTCATCTGAGACACCGTGGGTGACTTGGCTCGGGCCTTTGGTGGAGTCACATGTTGCCAGCTTGGGCTCGACGTGAGCTGCTGGGGACCTGGGATCTGCTCCTCCTCGGAATTGTGCATTGATCTCCTCGGAGGTGTGAACATCTGGTGGCGTGTGGGAGATTTCGGAACTGGGGTCATCTCTGGAGCACCCAGCACCATCTGGTAGTAGCGCTCGTCGCTCTCGATCTTCTCCACAGCCACCTTCATGAGTTTGTAGTGGGGCTTCACACCCTTGAGATCTTTCTGAACCATGCTGAGAGCCTTCGCCACATAGTGAGGATCGATGTGCTCGACATTGTGAGTCAGCGAGCCCATCCTTGGAACATACTGCGTCCGTAGGTTGCACACGGCGCAGTGGGTCCATTGACCATATGTTTGATCCTCTCACGGAGGCGTTGTGACTCCCGAAACATGGCCAGCATTCGCCACATCTGGGGTCTCTCGGATCTGCTGGAAGAGCTCGGCTGTGATCCAACTCGGGAGCCTTGTCGGCAAGGTTGGTCTTCGGAGGCATCACTCCAAAGATTTCGATCACCAGCCGTGGATTCCTTCTGTTTTGAGCCGGCAGAACGTCGATGAACACACTGTTGAAAGAAGCAACGCCGGGCATCTGTGTTGTCAAGCAAAACATGTTGAGTTGAAAACAACTCTTCTCCTTGTGTCATGTAAAGTTCCAGAACATTTGCATCCGAGATAGCTCGTGAAGGAGTCCATGTTGAATCAGACGTGAAACCATGTGGCTTGTTGGTGAGAAAGGAAACCAAATCCAAAACAAAGTGACCCTTTGAACTAATTCGCAAACAGTTGGGATTTGCATCAGGCACATTGGACATCCAGGAGTATCCATCCACGAAATCAAGAACCAAGCCCACACCATTGACGCCTAAAAAGTCCATGCCGATCAAAATAGGAACCAACAGTGAATCATCGTACCAAGGTTCATGATATTCTGGAGGATTCGGGAGAGCAAAAACTGAAAATTTTCGCTGATGTCCAGATGCCCATGAGGAAATTGTGACTTGACACAAGGCTTGTCCCCACTTCCCTGAACCATACCGAAAACGGGGTTTCAAGGTTTGGTCAACAGTCAATGTTGCTTCTGGATCAACTTGGCGCAAACACTCAAAAACCCTGTGAATGCTGGCCTCGGGACCAGCAGAGGCTGTGGCACCGCTGTCGACCATGCCCTCGAAGGACTTGATGGCCTGGGATGCCGAAGGCGGTGGAGACCAAGTAGTGGCTGTCAGGGTCACATCCAGGGGCTCATGGTACTCAGGGGTTTCCATGAACTCAATGGGATAGAGCTCCATGCCATAAGCATTGACACCACTCGGACCAGGAGGACGGAACGAAAAACTTGATGACCCTTTTGAGGATTTGCCCTTAGATTTGCCAGCCCAAAACATCTCGTGATCCATGTAGTTGGAATACTTTGCCTTGCCTTTGCCTTTGCCTTTCACCATGGGAAACTGTTCCATGTAGGGATCACCATAAACAGCCATACCCATCTTGCCTTTATTGAAACCTTTGGACTTACCCTTGGGAGCACCACGATCTGGACAATCACGTGCAAGATGAAGGGGACTACCGCAGTTAAAACAACCCGTGGATGATGTTGATGATTTTCCCTTAACAGCTCCAAAACCTCTATCACGGCGCAAGGCCGCTGTAGCCTCCTGGGCTTTTTTCCATGTGAGACTCGCTTCAGAGGCTAGAGCATCTGCCATGCGTTCTGACTGATACGCCTCTTTGATCTGCGGATCTTCCAGTTCTGAGGCATTCAAGTCAGGTGTTTCATGAGCATCATCATAGTTACCAGAAGGGGGAGAATCAGAAGGACCATTCCATGACGACCAATCATCATCCCACATCCAGTTAGCTTCATACCAACCATCATCATTATAATCATCCCATGACCAAAAAGAGGAATCGTGATCACCTTCCAACCAATGTGCATTAAACTGTGAAGGGGCATGTCGAGGATGTTGAATCAACTGATCATCCCAAAGCACTTGCAATGCACCTGAAATTGAATCAAAATCCAACTTGTTGTTTGTTGCAGAAAGAACATCACGAAACTCATCACGGGACAAAGTGGCTGCCTGTAACAAGCGCCATCCTCGCAGAACATCAAGCACAAATGAGTCAGCAGAGTTCATCCCATGCTCTGGAGCCACATTCGACTGAGGACTGAGATCCGGTTCAGAAACTAGAGGCACGCGCTGATAGCCATCTGTCGCTGCATCAGGTCGCTCACCAGTCTCAGTAGCATCAGCATCAGCTGAGGCTTCAGCTGCGGGTTCAGCACCCGCATCATGAGAATCACGCCAGTTTCGCCAGCGATTCCACTGGGCATCTTCTTCCTCCTGTCTCCTGAAGATTGCTTCCAAGCCAAAGTCTTGCAAGCTTGGATCAGTACCACTGCGTTCCTCACGAAGCCGGATCAAAGCTTCTTGGAACTCTTCGTAAGACAAGGTCTCTCGAACAAGGAATTCGGAAATTGTCTCATTCTGTCGTTTGCGAAACCCAAAATACTGCGACATAGTTGCTGCGGCATTCGGAAGACTTCGTCTGACCAAAGGACTTGCTGCTAACTTACGCAGGAAAATGAGTACACCACGATCATTATCCAGTTCTGATTGGGGCCATGACATTGCTAAAAGGCGGGCACTTCCGGAGAGCCGTGCAATTAGCCTGGTGGCCAAATGACGACGCTGTCCCACCTTTGTAGCTTGCACATACCACACCACCTCACGACAGTAACGCCGCCAACCTTTCGGATGACCATCCCACGTAGGGACTGCTGAGCTCTCTGATGACATCCGGCCAGCTACACCAAGGAGTTGCGCAGAGAAAACCAGTAGCTCCGCTGCCAGTGCAGCGTAGCTGACACTGGAGCGATTCAACAGAGATCAATGGCCAACAGCTGTCAAAAGGGATGGAATGGATCAACTGGAAATCACAAGGTCACACAAGACCTAACAACGAAAAGCACCCATGGCACTCGGCAGCTCAAACGCTGCTGTTTTCACAGGATCGCCGAAGGCTCAAGGCCTAAGGAGGTTTGGGCCGACACATCGGCAACCGCACGTAGATACCTGGGCGAATGGACCAATGGAAAGGATCAGTTCTGTTGCAGAATCCCGAATGATGGTGGGATGATCAGAACCCATATATATATATAATATATATATATATATATACGTATATACATACACATACATGATTATATATATATATATTTAATTATATATATATATATTATATAATATCCAAACTACCTGCATGGCACATGTTTGTTGATGAAATCCCAGTTTTTTGCTCCCTATGATACTTGGATCACCAAAATGCGGCTGGCTGCTGACATCCCTCGAACTTCCAAGTCTTGGAAGTTCCCAAAAGCAACAGGTTTCCCACAACATTCCCACAACATAGAAACTTACAGTCAGTTATTACCATATATATATTACCATTTAATATAATCATCACTGAAATTACCAAAACATAGAAACAGTCAGTTAATAGTTGAGATAAATCCGCGTAAAGTTGCTTTACTTTTCCACGGCTGTCGGTGACTTCCGCAGAGAAAGTGGCGAGGCTGAGCGATGAGCAGCCAATGGATGTCAGGAGCGACGATGTCAGGTGTGAGTTCTGATGGTTTCTGGACATGGGGATAGGTCAAAACTTACTAACCTATAATGTCAACCCCGGATGAATTGCTAAACCATGGTTTATGACAATTAGGGGGTATTCCCCCTATTTCGTCATGATTTGATACTTACTTAAATGATACCCTCCCAATTAAACAGCCGTAAACGGGGTTTATTAATCCAGGGTTGACATTACTAACATATTTGGAGGAATAACCATCCATTGAGCAGCCATTTCACCTGGGCTGCCAGGGTGTTGACTCATGGGGATTCAGCGAGGGGTTACGGAACTCGAGTGGTTGATAGGACCCAAGGCCCATAGGGCTAACTTTCGCAAGAAACTGGGAGGAAAGAAATAAAGAATCATTGGGTTTAGTGGGTATTTCATAAGTGTCAGTGACTGTTTATCTATGTAAAAATCTAGTATATCACCTAGTGATGTTTTTCCCCCATGGGACTTTTCAACAGAAAATGGGTGAGTTTGCAACAAGATCTTGGAGCATCTTTCATCCAATGACCCCCAGTCATGGTTTGCAAGTTGGAAGGAGAGTTTGTTCGGTTGATCTCATTGCCCCATGTAGGTATCAATCGTTTATACATTCTGATCTATTGAGAATCTATTGTTTGTCATACAGTAGATGCTCATATTTTAGCTGCCCAAGAACCTGATGGTGATTCACTATACGTATTCGTGGTCAGTCGTGATATCAAGAATAGATTCCATGATATCATGCGGGGAAGATTCAACCGGTCGAAAAGAGGAACACATGTAGAATGGAATGCTGTGGATGAACACAACAAGAGGTACTATGGGCACTGGTGATATTGGTGACAGCAAGGATTGTTATTATCTGCGGCTGCTGATAATGATGATGGTGATGATTCAATACTGATTATCGTTGTTACTATTACTATTCTCATTATTACTATCATGATATTTTTTTAAGACCAACATTACCATGATTACCATTGGCTTTTTTCTTACTATCAATGATAAGCTATTCTCATTATTGATAGTTATTATAGGTATTACCTTATTCTCATTCTTACTATCAATGATTCCCTATTACTATTATCAATATTACCATGATAACCAATTGTGGTTATCATTGGCATCTTCAGTACGATGATGGTCAGAGGACGTCCGAAGAGGGTCGGCGCTTGTCGCTGATGCAGCCAACCACACTGTTGGGATGCCATGGCTTTGGCAGCATTTTTGCGGCGGAAATGTGGGGATCGGGACGTTTTTTTTTTTTGGATGCCATGGATTTTGAGAAAGTCAAAAAACCAACAAAAACACGAGGATTTTGGAAAGCCAAGAGATTCTGAGAAACGGCCAAGCGTTCAAGCGACAAGAGTTCAGAACTAGAACGAGTGAGTTTGAATGAGTGGACGCTACTTGGATTATTGCATCCCAGCAGGGCAGTTGTGATCTGCTGTAAGTGGCCCTCCTATCCCTGGGATTTCCCTACAGTGGGGAGTTGCCAGCAAGTGGAGGTTGCTTTTGAGACGGTACACGGTGGTATCGCCACTTCAATATACTATTTTTCTTAATTTTGTATGAAGTTCTTGGATAACAATAAAATCCTAGGTGGTATCGTGTTTGGTTATATCCTGTTGATCTTTGATTTTTTTGACACATGGAAAGAATAACCCAGTTCTTCAATTCCCGGTGACGTGCCGTGCTCGACATCTTTCGCCTAGGTCATCATTGCCGAAGGAATCCAACAACGAGATGTCAATCTTTAGGTGGGAATGGTATGAGATATGGGGGTTTCCTAAAATGGAGGTACCCCAATAGCTGGTTGGTGCTTTTGGAAAATGAATTTTATTTTTCCATATATATCATATGTTGGGAATGTCATCATCCCAACTGACGAACTCCATCATTTTTCAGAGGGTTAGGTCAACCACCAACCAGATATCTTCTGGTAAACGTTTACACAACTATGGAAAATCACCATGCTATTAATGGGTAAATCCACTATTTCTATGACCATTGTATTGGTAAAACCCAATAGCATCATTTATCATAATCAGAATTTATCATCCATAATCATTATTTATCATCCATAATCATCCATCATTTACCCTCTGGTAAATTAACATAGACCCTGAACATAGGCTAGTTTTAATGGAAACTCATCTTCCAACCCCGATGACTGCCAGGGTCGAACTGTTAATTTACCAGAGGGTATATATCCCTATTATATCCTATTATAACATCTCATAATCCCTATCGTTGGTTTTTTAAAATCCGTTGTTTATCCCACCATCCCACCATCATTGGTTAACCATGGTAAAGTCACCAACCAGATATTAGTATAATTATTATAGCATCTAAAACACCATCTAATCATCCATCATTTATCAGAATTATATGGGGCTTTCCTAAAAGTCATGGGGGTACCCCTTTATCGCTCGCTCGCTGGATGATGATCTCTGGGGACTTTCTATTGGTCGGAGGTCAAGTGGCGGTCCAGCAGTAAAACCCAGCCTGGTTTACCATAGGAAAATGGTGATTTTTCATGGTTAACAATGGTTTATTTTATGGGATGATCATGGGATATACCCAACCTGGTTATGACATTCACAGTTTGCCATGGTTTTTCGATGGCCCTCATCGAAATAGATGGTTTACCTGGGTTTACCGTTCTTAAAAATGGGTGGATTTTCCATGGCAAACTCTGAAATAACCAGATGGTAATTCTTTAAATGGGAATGGAACCAGAGCCAAACGGCATAGATTTGCGATGACTTTTTTCATTTTCCCATTAGTTACAGTATGTTACAGTAATCCACCATCCGGAGGGCTATGGTCCACCGTGTGCCCGGCCCGCGGGCCCGCGGGGCGAGCCCGCGGCGGGCCCGCGCTAGTCTTGGGCTATAGTCCACCGTGACCTTAAGCCCGTGCAACACTAGAGACCGGCAACAGCAATGCAAAGTAATGAAAACATTCGCACATTTTGAGACATTCTGAGCAAATTTGAAGAATTTTGAGCATTTTGGAGCCGTTCTTGTGGACCAGCTTGGGTCTTTTCCAGCAAATTTCAAACAATTTTGAGCATTTTTGTCGGGCAAGTTGGGGTCATGTCGAGCAATTCTGAGCAATTTTTGGAAGCACGATATGGCATTGTTGACCTTAGACCGTGTTCAAGATGTCTCAGTTGAGGCTGCTTTGAGACATCTTACTTTAGCTGAAAAAGGTAGCTGATGTAAACCCCACGGATCTAGACCCTAAAAGGTAAGGGTGCCTCTAAGAGGCCGTGTGTTTCAGCACATGGATATGTTTCTATTCAATTATGTTCCAAGGTTTTGCCACAACGAGAGCGGTTTTTCACAGATACCTATATTTTGTGGGTGTATCAAAAGTCATGGAAGGGTATGGAAAAATGAGAGTCACGGTGTGATTTTAATGGTTTTTGTGGGACGAAAGCCATCAGCTTGGAAAAGACGGCGTTACGCTTTTTCTTCTGCATTGCCGACGTCTTTGTTTCAGCCGCTTTTGCGGCCAAGTATCATCAACGTATCATCAACGCATGATCAACGTAACATCAACGTATCCACAGCGCATGATCAACGTATCATCAACGCATGATCAACGCAACGTCAACGTATCAACAGCGCATGATCAACGTATCATCAACGCATGATCAACCTAACGTCAGCGTATCATCCACGTACCATCAACCTAGCATCAACGTATCAACAGCGCATGATCAATGTATCATCAGCGTATCATCCACGTCGCATCACCTTGCACGCAAGATACATGAACGTTATTGCACCCCCCACCCCACCCAACCGCAACAGTAGCATCAACGTCTCCTCAACGTAGCATCAAAGTATGATCAACGTAACATCAATGTAGCATCCACGTCGCATCAACTTGCACGCAAGAGACATGAATGATATTGCACCCCCCCACCCCACCCCACCCCACCCCACCCCACCCCACCCCACCCCACCCCACCCCAACAGTAGCATCAACATCTCCTCAACGTAGAATCAACGTATGATCAACGTAACATCAGCGCAGCATCCACGCCGCATCACCTTGCACACAAGAGACATGAACGTTATTGCAACTACCTGCCACCCCACCCCACCCCAAAAACCTCAAAAAAGCACGGCCTCTTAGAGGCGCCCATACCTAAAACGAGACCAGTGAGTATTATAAAATAGCCTCTGGAGAAGTATTATGAAATATTAGTTTTTTCAAATGGGTTCAATTGGACAAACCTTGCGGTGCCAGCATCCTGGGGTCATCAATTTGTGAGGATCCCACCCAAAAGTGCACTGAAAAAATGGCGTTGTAGGCGTAGGCTGGGATTTTGTGAATGCAAGGTCTGATTTGACCCATGGGATTTTGTAGAGCCCGAACTGACCTCTACTTTGCATGACGGCGCTCATGAATCGCTTTTCTGTGATTGTACAGAAACTTAGAGTTTTGGAGGGAGCAACAGGCAAGGGTTCAGTCCACACGGAGAGGTTAAGATGATTTAAGCTCACTCATTTTTTGAATCTTTGGAACTTCATACCGCGTGACCATGCCCTTTGATTGAATATAACACCATAGCGGACAGGGACTGTGCTGCCTGTATCGTGCTTCCATGTGCTTCTTTCACTTTGTTAGTGTTGTCCCTTCACCTGCATGTTCCGGGTTGTGAGATTCTATGTCAGCCACTCCTCTCCTCCTTCTTGTCCTCCTCGCCGCGCCTGACCTCAACCGCAAAACCCGGATCAGAGTGGTGCCCACCAGACCTGGATCACAAGCGCCTGGGTGAGATAGAATGCCACACTGAAAGTGAGAAGACACAATAGCCACGTATGCCAGAAAGAATTCCAAAAGAGATGCCATAGCATGGCAGCCTTGAATTGTCAGAAGTTATGCCAGATAGACACATATGCCAGATAGCACGCCAAAAGATATGCCAGATAGAACGCGCGGGTCCGACTATGTCAGTTCATGCCAGAATATATTTGAAAATATTTGTTGGATTGCCAGAATAAATACTGGAAAAGATTTGCTAGACACAGATGCCAGACAGAATGCAAGAAGATATAGACGATAAAATGCTGACCTGAAAACCCTCGGGCCCGCGCGGGCCCGCGGGCCCGCGCAAGTCTTGGGCTATCAGGGGACCTATGTCATCCGGAGGGAATCTACTAGAACATGAAACTCATGTTTTGTGGTCCTCAGCAAATCCAAAGTGGTGCCTTTCCCAGCAATGTACCCAACCGAAGGGCTTTGACGATGTTAGCTGTTTGATGGTGAGAACATCAAGAAGCATGAACAATAACTCTTCTATATCTAGTTACTCTACATTTAGGTTATCATTAATATATATAGTCATTGGATCGTATATAATTGGATGATAACAACGAGAAACCATCTAACAGTGGGGTGTCCAGAAATGTGTTCTATCATGTTCTATCCCATTTCTGGCCCATTCAAAATCCCCACGTTACGTGGCTGGCTGAAAATATCACTTGCTGGTTGGTATCAATTTCCATCAATTTCCATCAATCATCCATCATTTGCTGGTTGGTGGTGACTGGAACCATGGAATTCTATGACTTTCCATTGAGTTGGGAATGTCATCATCCCAACTGACGAACTCACTCCATCATTTTTCAGAGGGGTTGGTGGCTCAATACCACCAACCAGTTTGTGTTGGTAAAACCCAAGTCTTGCTAGGGGCCCTCATGTTTCCCAATTTTGGGGGGTCTCAAGTCTCAAACATCAGCTTTGGCTTGTTACTTGATGTCCCAAGGTATTCGTTGTTGGTTTAATCCCAAGAAATGCCGGTGCAACGGTGCCATCCCAATTTTTTTTTGGGTCAAATCTCCACTTTTCGGCTGTAAATTCGACACTAAAATCCCAATGAAGATTAGAACAACTCACCCAAATTTTCTCACTGAAGTCCCTTAATTTGGGTAAATTCTACTGACATCCCGAGAATTTTGAAAATCTTGATTCCTCCAAGAATTGCCCGTTTTTTTCGACTTCTCAAAAGCGCCAGGTTTTACATCTATCCCTCCGAAGACTTAACGCGCAGCATGGAGCGGATGCAGTACTTCCGGTCCAGGAATTGGTTGGACAAGGCCCGGGACGGGCGCCCGGCCGGGGCGGGCTGGATTTGGAGAGACCTGTGACATCCTGTGACATCCTGGGATTTGGGCGGCCTTGCCTGGCTGCCTGTTGAGCCTTTTGTGGATTTCCGGACAAACATTTTTGAGTCATGCTGGAGCATCATTTTCTGTACAATGATCTCCCAACAAAGTCGATGCTGGAAAAATGCAGTATGTCGATGGTGTAGTTTGAGAACAACATGGATTTGGGGGTCAGGAGGTTGAGGCTTGACAATTCCAAATGGGCCAGGGTGATGCTAAAATGCAGAGATCACCAGCCGAAAAAGAGATGGCAATGGCTGAATTATATAATATTATATATATATATATATTAGTAAGCACCAAAAAAGATAGAACACACATGCAGGATGTTATGCTTATGTTATGGTTATGTTATCATCCTGATTTTCCGTTGTTTTTCTCTATCTTTTGGGGGTTGCTATACAGCAGAAATGGATGGTTTCAGATACCATCAACGCCCAGGACTCGCAAGTGCTACAGATCCGCCCCTTGGCCCGATGTAATTCACCATATACTTTATGGATGTTTAGAGTTTATAGGGGTGCTTAATATGAAGGGTTTAGGGATTATAATTCCATGGTTTTTCCATCATTACATCATTATTTTTCTGTATCTTTTTGTCTATTTACTGAAGGGTAAATGGCTTTGTCTATAGGGTCGTGAGGTTTTTGGTTGCAAGTTTTGGGGTTCTGGGGTCGGCATTCGTTTTTAGGGGTACCGTATATATAGGTTGTCTCTACACTCCCGAGGTTTCAGGGTGTGTATATGATATTATATGATCATATGCATATATTGTAGATGGATATAGTAATATAGTCAAAACAGTGGAACCCAGAGAACTACTTTAGTACCTGATGTCAACAAAGCTCATGCAATTCACCATCATGGGCGATTTGATGATAATAATGATTGGTCATTTTTTGGGCGTATATATATATACATATATATATGTATCACACGATGGTAGTTTTCCTCTATGTACGATGTATGACCCATCTCCTTGCATATGTCGAATTGCATATTTAGGCATCCAACATGGTGGTAATTTTCCACGTCAGACCATGATCACGGCATGGGATTGCTGCTTGGAGATTCCGTTGCTGGGGTAGAAGTCATTACCATGGTCATGAACCCCTTTTACCTTCGGTAAAATTAGCACAACTATGTGGACATCCAGTGTTGTGATCTTTTTTTGTCTCTGGGAAAACACTAGATTTTCATGGTTTCGATGTCCAAAATATCAACTTGCCGATTCTAGGAAGGCTACTACCCTCCGGTAATTGAAGATAGCTATGGAAAATGAGCCATTTATAGCTGTTTTTTTTTTAACAAATAGTGGTTTTCCATAGCAAACTGTTGAATTACCAGAGGTTGCGATGCAGATCCATGTGAGTCAGCGCCGGCCAGGCCTTTACCTAATGAACTCGGAGCTAGGCGCGGCATTTCTCATCATGGCTGGGAAATTCCCCGAACTCAATGGGAAACACATCCAGAAACGATTACCCTCTGGTAAACTAACATAACTATGGAAAATCACCATTTTTCATGGGAAAATCCACTCTAAATGGTCATTTTCCATAGTTACGTTAAATTACCAGAGGGTAAACCATGGCTATTTGATGATGGATCTTAGAAAAAACATCATTGAAATGTGAACCAATCATTGAACATCATTGAAATATATGAAGATCAAGTTCACCAAACCAGAGGCTAGCCATTTTTTTGGGCTGAGGGCTTCAATTTGAGCCTCGTCCCATGGTTCAAAAAACTCAAAAGGACAACAGCAATGGCAACTGCAATGGCTATCCCCACTTTGAGACAAACCCCAAAGTCATCATAAGTCCCCCCCTAATTCTTGATCCAGCCGATATATCCCCCCCTAAAGGAATTTGTAATGATTGCTGATTCCTATATGCGCAGGACGCATGTTTGTTGGTAAATGTTGTTGTCAGTTTGCATTTTTCGTTGATGTAGTCGCCATTTTCATTTTCACGAAAGCAAATGAATGGCGAATAAAGTGGAACATCATCTGGTTAGTGTTTTGGAACATGAATTTTATTTTCCATAATATATGGGACAATCCTTCCCATTGACTTTCATATTTTTCAGAGGGGTAGGTATACCACCAACCAGATAGTCATTTTCTCATTAAACATTGCCATTTGGGGGTCTACCTCATGTTCATGAAGTGGAACATCATCTTTAGAACCCCTTTGAGCCCGTTTGTATTTCGGGATGCCATGTCTTTTCTAAAAAGAGGTGAGATCCTCCAAGCTGGCCATGTCCTGGGTTCCCTACTCGGATCCCCGGTTGGGTTCACACCAAAATCGGGTTCTGTATCAAACTCAGGTTTTTCTGATTTTGTTCATTTTGTTCAACTGTTTACTACCCAAAATCCACCCATCTCGGAGAGCGGTTCTGAACATGCCCGGAATGGGATTGAAAAATGAAAAAAGTACCTCAACTGCTGATGAAATTGAACCGGTACCTTCTTGTAATCAAACATGGCAAAATGCACATCCACCATTTAGTTTATATAGTTCGATCATGTTTGAGGACACCCATGGTACTCCTGTAGAAATCACCCCAACTGAATGTAATGCTATCTAGCTATCTAAACAATTCTATAGTCATCTATAGCATATAATACAATATAATACACATTATAGACATATTTATATTACGACGATAGATATCTACTACCCTCTGGTCATTTGAACATGGTCCATTTAGTTCGACGATTTATGATGACTTACCGTTTTGAAACATTGTGATTTTCCAGTTCGCTACGTAACAAATTACCAGAGGGTATTATCCACATGGATATAATACTATCTAGTTATCTAAATCATACTACAATGACTATCACACATATATTTATACTATACTATTATATACTATATACCATTATAGTTTTTTTTCCTACTAATTCTGTGCTATGATCTACTATTATATATGTATAATTATATACTATTATGATCTAAAAAATCATTTTGGCACTCCGCCAGGACAACCCAACCTGGAACAGATGACCTTGACCTTTTACTTTGCCGATGGCGGCAGTGGCTCGCCTCAACGGAACGATTTGATGGGAGCTACTTGTAGCGGTTGCGGCAGCCTACCATGATGTGAAGGATGTGAAGCGCAACGATTAGTGAACTATGTTTAGACCATAGTAGATCATAGTAGAGTTTAATAATAGTAGACAATAGTAGATTGGGCTATAATAATACTATGGTCTACTAATAAAGATTGTTGAGATACCATGTCTACTATTGTCTATATACTAATAATACTAGATTGGGCTACAATAGTAGACAATAGTATCGTATGAATAAACCACACAAAGAAATGGAGAAGCAACATGAACGAAGCTGGAACAAACATATGATTCGGTGTGAGCTATGAACGAGACACGTACGTGACGTGGAAAGATATATGAAGCGGCGGTGTTTTTGAGAGCATATCACGACTCATTAAGGGAATGTACCCTCTGGGCCTGGGTTTACCCTATGGTTTACCATAGGAAAATGGTGATTTAATGGTTAACAATGGTGAATAATGGAATGATAATGGGATATACCCTCTGGTAAACTAACAAAAAGCTATTGAACATGGCCATTGAAATAGTGGATTTACCCATTAATAGCATGGTGATTTTCCATAGTTATGTAAACGTTTACCAGAGGGTACATAAAACACACAACCTAGAAACAGCCACTGAAACCTAGTCACAATCGCTTTCTAGTCCATTTTAAGTGCTGTTTCTAAGCCCACTTTTTGGTTGGTTCTGTCATGTCCTATCCTCGTCTTTGTTCGTCAACCACAGATCTTCTTGATCTTCCCATCTTGCAGCTGCAACCTTCACCTCACCCACTTGAGGTGTCTACTACTCGCGGGATTTCCAAGCGATCTTCTTTGAGGTCTTTCCCAACAGCTTTAGTTTAGTGGCTGACGGCCTCTTCTTCTTGACCCTGTGCTTCACAGGCGCAGCATCCGCAGCATCCGCAGCATCCGCATGGCAGTTTGGTCACTACCGCAGATCAAAGATTCCTAAGATCAGATGGATTTTCCCTGGATATTTGGTGATGATGTATAGACTTATGTAGACAACCATGACCGAATGTGGCAGACCCAAGAAGAGTACACTACATTTTTAAAGCCAATCCCCAAATCGCAAGATTAGGACGGTAAAGTTTGGTGGCTTTTGGATGTTTTTTTGTACTAAACCATCCAATTAAAAGGGATCCTGTTGGGTAATCTGGCCCATACCCATACTAATTATGATCATCACATCATCCAACTGTTCCAATTGTTTCTGATATCATGTGTATCCATATGTTTGATATTCTTTGCTAATTATCCTTGATCCCAGAAATGGTTTTCCAGGGAAGATTTACAGGACTAAAATTATATGGTAGGGAAAGAACCTGCTTTCCGGCAGTTGTTCCCTTCAAATCAATCTATATCAATCTGTTGACGTCTCCGTGATGGGATGATGACACAGTTCAGATTTTAACGTTCGGTACCCGCAGCTCCATCGCAGGTGTGTTGCAAACCATCGTTTTGTGGCGAGCCTTGCGAGACCGCCGCATGAAGAAGTACTTGACGGATATCAGGACGGATGACCCAGCTGCGTTGGAAGATCATACGAAGAATAACTGGTGGATGTTCCCCTCAACAAACAAACAACTATTGAAAATGGTCATTTATAGTTGATTTACCCATTGAAAATGGTGATCTTCCATAGTTATGTTAGTTTACCAGAGGGTATATACCAGTTATATAAGTGATATACGGGATAAGCCGGGTTGGGGGAACTTCCTAACCGCGGTAGCCAGTTACTAAGTGGGATGAACCCCGATTGGTACATCCATGCCACATGATTCTGCCTTTTTTTCACGAACCCAACTCGCAGCATCATTTTGACCGTGCAAATGCCATGTCAATGTTCGTTTGATGGGTGGAAACTTTCTGAAAAATACCCATTTGATTAAACAAAAAAGCTATTGAAAATGGCCATAGAAATAGTGGATTTACCCATTAATAACATGGTGGATCTTTCCATAGTTTTCTGTTAATATTTACCAGGCCGGGTACCCATTGATAAAAATCATTATTAACCATTATCAATTAGCATTAAACACTATGAAAACCATCATTAACCATTGGTCATCATTAAGCCAATATTGACCATCATCAACCATCGCTATGAAAACCATCATTAACCATCACTATTAACCATCCTCCACCACTATTAACATCTATTAACCATCATTAACCACTATTAACCACATCATTAAGCCACTATGAAAACCATTGGTCATCAACCAAGGCGTTGATGACCCAAGGTTGGCCAACCGGCCTTGGGGATCCCATCATTGGAATCATCCCATCGTAGCGTAGCGAGCGCCCTAGGAATCTGCTGGAGTTGATTGTGATCGCAGGTGGCATCTATTTCTGCGCCTTGGAGGAATATAATATGGATGGTTAATGGGATATGGATCTGGGTAAATTATAACGACCTCACTGCGACCTCACTGGAATCATGGTTAGTAAGGGAAATCATCCCCAAATGGCCTTAATTCAGGTTAGTGAAATATTATAATTTATCCAGATATGGATGGTTAATGGATGGTTAATGGATGAGGGACTAATATATGGTCATTTAGTATCATGTAATATCATTGAATCAATCATCTAAAATATGGGATATGGATGGATAGGCTTCTGAAAGGCTTATTGTGGTGCTTATTGAGGGCCTATTGACCACCAACTACTCAACCCATCTATTGCTGGGGGGATGACTTTTTGGAAGTGCTCGAACCCCCTGTCACCTGGAAGCGCGTACAATGGGTTTGTCATGCTTTGTTTGAAAATGATTGAACACCCTAAATCCAGGTTCATCATCATGTTTTCTATTTACATTGCCATTTTGGTGGTATATTTTCATTTTTGAACAGACCCATGTCCTTTAAGAACCAGCTGTACCTTGCTCAGGTGCTCAGTTCTACATGGTCTACCTCACGAAGGCGCAATGATCATCATTTTATCTACGAAAATAGGATGGGAGAGCTATACTACTATGAAAACCATCATTAACCACTATTAACAGGATTTTTTTTTGTTTTTTTTCAGCCACAGCGGACAGCGGAGAGCGCCACCTTTGTGCCAGGAAGAGACGACGGAGTTCATCACCAATCTCCGTGCGAAGGGATGGAACATCTACGACGCACAACAAGAGGCCGCTGGGCGATGGACGGCGATGGACGGCGATGGACGTGGCGTATCAGATTAATGGGTAAAGTAATGGGTTTCAATGGGTTAAATATCTATGGTATTCTATGGTTATATTGTATGGTTATATATGTATATCAGATTAATGGGTAAAGTACCCTCTGGTTATGGTTAAATATCTATGGGTAAATATCTATGGTATCTATGGTATTCTATAGTTAAGTATTCTATAGTTATAAACTATTTTCATGGGTAAAGTAGCCAACCTGGTTATGACCAACAGTTTGCTATTGAAAATGGCCATGAATAATAGATTTTCCCATTGAAACTGGTGATTTTCCATAGTTATGTTAAATTACCAGAGGGTAATGGGTTTCAATGGGTGAAATATCTATGGTTACATATGTATAATGATGGTTAATGATGGTTTTCATGGATGGCTAATGATTGGTCAATGATGGTTAATGATGGTTAATGATGATCAATATTATATACACATTATGATGATATGTTTGGTACATGATACATCAGTGGATACATGGTACAGATACAACTAAATTCCAACAATCAAAACATGGATATGGTGGTTTCCATCAATGGGGTAGCGGGAGGGTTTATAATGGGAAATCCTGTGAAGATGGATGATTTGGGGGTACCCCCACGGATTGGAAACCTCTACATAGCTATGGAAAATGACATATCAATGTTTTCAAAGGGCCATTTTCTATAGCTATGTTGGTTTACTGGAGGGTAAAGCCAACAAATCCCAACAATAAACCATGCCCCATGGTACCCGAAATGGGTAGAAATGGCTTGTAGGAACCATCCTCCAATGAGTTTACTATCTTGGCTTTACTAAATGAGTGATTGAGAGAACTCGGTGAAACTTTCCTAAAAGGGGGGTACCCCTAAATCATCAATTTTTTTCCATAGGATTTTCCATTGCCATAGCATCGATTTTGGGGATACCCCATTTACCATCTGGTTATTTAACAGTTCGCCATGGAAAATCCACCCATTTTTAAGAACGGTAAACCATCTATTTCGATAAATGGGCCATTATATTCGTATTTCCCATGGCAAACTGTGAATGTCATAACCAGAGGGAAATATCTTTTTTTTTTCATGGGTAAATCCACTATTTCGACTGGGCCATGGCTTCAATAGCTTTTTGTTAGTTTACCAGGTTGGGTAGCCCATTTCTATTCCACCTCCATCTGGGAAAAAACCAGGTTGGGTATATCCCATTATCATCCCATAAAATAAACCATTGTTAACCATTAAATTATTCCATTATTCACCATTCTTAACCATGGAAAATCACCATTTTCCTATGGAAAAGATCACCCAGTCCTCCAGATCCTCAGGATGTTGAGGAGCTCTTTGCCAAAGGTCCGGAGACCTGGCGGACCTGGCGATGCCGAAAAACACATCGTTGGCCAATAGAAAATATGCCAGGAATGGATAGAAATATAGCTTTATTTGCAAGACATCACATCATCTTTTTGGAACTTATATACATACATATATATATATATATAAATACATATAAACATTGAGTAACTAACTTATATAACTTATTTATCTCTTATATATTTATATATACATACACATATATTATGTAACTTATATAACTTATATAACTGTTCTGGAGTATGGACTGCTTGTGGACGGCATTGGATGGTCTGAATACACAGTGCGGTGACCATGGTGTGCTTTAAAGATGGTCCCATAAGATGCCTGAAAATCCGAATTTCCAAGACTTTCCAGGATGATGAAGCGCAACTTAATATGGTTTATAGAAAACATATACATTATATATATATACATTATATATATATATACATTATATATATATACAGTAATATATATATATATACAGTAATAATCAGTAATAATCAGTAATAATCAGTAATAATCAGTAATAATCAGTAATAATCAGTAATAATCAGTAATAATCAGTAATAATCAGTAATAATCAGTAATAATCAGTAATAATCAGTAATAATCAGTAATAATCAGTAATAATCAGTAATAATCAGTAATAATCAGTAATAATCAGTAATAATCAGTAATAATCAGTAATATATCAGTACAATATATCTTATATCTATATGTTCCATGGTTTTCTCCACGGTTTCGGCTCTGGCCGAGGTGAATCCGCATCCAGTGAGATCCTGAGCCTCCGTCTGCTGGCGGCCAACTATACCTTGATCCTCACGCCACGCGCCGGAAGCCATGGGATGGCTGGAAAACCACCTCGAAAGGGTAGAAATGGGAAAAATGGGAATGGAAAGATGGAAAAAAGCTGGATGACTCTGGAAATGATGGATCTTAAACATGAAACATATGGAAAACTAGGGAGTGAATGATTGAACATTGGGTAATTCGCGTCAAAGATGGCAAGATGGGGATTTAACAAACCAACGGATAGTTTCACCAGAATGGATTGGAGATTTGAGCATAGAATCGTCATTCCTCAGTGACTAAACCAATCAACACCTGGGGGATCAACGAAGAAACATGTCGCAAGCATGGTTTATGGTAATTTTTTTCATATTTGGACCAACATCTGCAGCTCCAGGGGTTACCCTCTGGTAAAATTGGTAAACGTTTACATAGCGAACTGGAAAGATCCCATTTTTCATGGAAAAATGCCACTAAAAATCGACTGGGCCATGGCTTCCATAGCTACGTTTTTCCATTACCAGGTTGGGTAAAAACAATGGCGCATTTTTTCAGCGGCGAATGTCACCTTTCAGTCTTGGAGCTGGGGTGTTTGAACAGCCCGGATTTTGTTCTGAAGAATAATGGGGTGATTACCCTTACTAGCTATCCGGAATTGGGGGCTATTATGGGAAAATAAAGGGATATGGGATAGTACATATGTTTTCTTCTTCAGTCAGGAAAGTTACGTTTCGGGTAGAGTTTGAAGTTTGATAGAATCCCATGATAGAGCTAGCGGAAGAAACAGAGTGATGCACTGTAGTATCTCATAGCAACGTTTAAAGATCAAACCCTCTCTTCCTCTAGCCTCCAGCAATCCGTGGCAGAAAATCCCCCAGCTATAGTTCGATGATTTTCCCAGCCAGCTATAAGCCTCCTTGGTATTTGACAGCCACGTTTGATTGCCAGAGGGTAGCATCGAAGATGACCCAGCCACCACCCAGACCTGTTTTGTTTCTATCCTTGACCTGGACAGCAGTTCAGCTTTGTAAAAAATGACATGAACTTTAAAAAGGTATTTGTACGATTTCCTTTCCGGCTGAAACGATATTGTTTAAGAACAATGGCCTTTTGAAGTACAATTTTTTAACTATTCTGTAGTCATCATCTCCCCCTGAAATGACCGTCCGAAAAGATACAAAACAACACTTCAAAGAAAAACTCTGAAACAACAACACCAGATCCCAGCAAAATATCGACACATGAACATTAAAACCCAGCAGATTTCATCTTTGGGTGTCCCCAATCGCGCCTTCGAGGTTCCGCTTCTTCGCGAACTTCCAGGCGCAACCTCAGCTGGCCATCATCACCAACACCTTGGGATCTTTGATTGTGGCACCTTGCCGAAAATCCATTGGAATCGGATGGGAAGGGAAAATCTACACCGGAAAACTCGGAAAACCCATGTTTTTTTTTTTTAATGAAAAACTTCACTTGGGGGTTTCCGGTGACCATTTTCCAATCCATTGATTTGACGAGGCCAAATGGGATGACACTACGAGATTTTTTTTTATAGGATAGAACCACAATGGAAAGATGATGAGGTATGTGACCAATGGTTAATGATGGTTAATAGTGTTTAATGCTAATTGATAATGGTTAAGAATGATTTTTGTCAAATGGGTACCCGGCCTGGTAAACGTTTACATAACGAACTGGAAAAACACCATGCTATGAAAATGGGTAAATCCACTATTTCGACTGGGCCATGGCTTCAATAGCTTTGTGTTAGTTTACCAGAGGGTATGATTTAGATAGCGGATGAACAACAAGTTGCGACAGCACTGGCCCATGTCACTGCAAATGATGACTACAACAGTAGCAAGGAGAATCATCCCCATATAGCTTATCAGATGATTTTCGATCAGGAAGAAAAGTGGAGATTCTAAGCAACTGCGGGGATTAGCCAGTAGTACTGGGGGAACATATTAGATAATAAGGCAACTGGTACGGAAAGGGATGAATGGAATATTTGGCTTTTTAGTTTGGGAAGTTAGGATCAGATTGGATCGTGATCGAACTGATTGTCTTGGATGAGAGGATTGGATTTGGATACGAATAGCAGAATAGCGATGAGACATATCCGTTTATGAACCATTGCCGCTCCAAAAAATGGTATAAATGGTACTGTTCCAGACATGTTTGATTCCCAGAGGAAATAACACTTAGAAGTGTATCCAGTGGCAAGTGCTTCATCACCCTGTGGTTCATCCAGCACATGGAATTCTTCGGTACCAAATCCCCATGCATAGATTGTGGTCTAGCTACTACATGCTACTACTGCAACAAGAATGCACTAACTGACGCATGAATCCAGTTTTGTTTCTTGGGTTTGTCAGAAAATTTAGAGGAACACCCCCAAAGTTGATGGTTTAAATCTGATTTTCCCCATGAAAATGGTCATATTTTGAAGATCTGAGAGTTGCCCAATGGACGCACCCATCTAGTATTGTTGGTTAGTCAATCCCATTCTATACCCTCTAGTAAACGTTTACATAACTATGGAACATCACCATTTTTGATGGGTAAATCAACCATTTCGACTAGACCATGGCTTCCAGTTCGCTTTTTGTTTTCACGTCTCCCAGGCCGGCTCACATCCCATGAAAGATCGCCATTGGTTGATACCGGCCCCACACGCGCTTTTCCCTCAGGAAATCGTCCACTTCATGGTGGTCTTCATTCCAGCCTTCCTGGTCTATGTGTGCCTCAGCGGACCATCAAGTTTCACAGCACAGCCATGACTAAAGGGCAGCTTACGCGGCATAGCGTTAATCAAGCAAGCAGGATTCAGTACTGTCATAGTATCATTGATATGATCATTGAATGATCTAGTGATTTTCCAGTATCAGTTCAATTTTCATTAACATCAGTTGAATATCCTCTGGTAAACTCACATAACTATGGATGAAACAACACCACTTTTCAAAGGTCAATCAAGGCCATAATTGTCACTTATAGTCCATAGCTATGTTAAATGATGAGAGGGTACCTATCAAGGAACAAGTTTTTAGTGTCATGAGTACTTGGCGATTCATCCGACTTAGATACTTAGGACGTCGGCTATCTATACCTGGTTTGTTTAGTGGAAGCACGAGTCATGAGGTCAACTTACTAAGTCGGGCGAAGCAGAAGCACCAAATGAATTTGACCCGGCTCTGCTCTTTTCTTTTTTGTTCTTTTCGATGTCAAGGGTACCATGGTGAACTAACCCAAGAAAATCCATAGACATTTTCCCTGTTTCCAATGACAACTTCGGCTATCTGCAAGCGGATGAAAACGGGTCATCCGGGAAACAATGGTTGAAGCTTGGGATGACCATAGCACATTCGTTCTGAAAAATCCCGTTGTTGATGATATAATATAATATATATATAAATATATTTCCTTATTATATAATATTAATCATATATAATATATCCTGTATATCCTATTAATATTATATCCTATTATCTCATAATCCCTATTACGTTGTTTTTTTAAAATCCAGTGTTTATCCCACCATCCCATTGATATCCCCAAAATTCCGGCCGTAAATTCACCCATGTTTTCTGGTCATTTTTCCCCATGCGGAACGTCACTTTAGGTACCCTCCACCAGCGCATCATCTGCCAGCGCCTCTGAGGTTCAGTGCCACGTTACTCTTTGGCCGGCGCATCGAGGACACGATCTCGTTGATTTACATATGAACATGAAAATTGGTGATTTTTCATCCATAGATGTTAATTAATTGAACTGATATTGGAAAATCACTAGATATGATATCAATGAATTGGTATTGTAACATCATGATTCAAATTGATTAAAATGGCTAGTCTCCATTGATGTTAATCACTGGGTAGTCATGTGTACAATGTTAATATATGTTAATATAACATAATGGGTTGTATAAGCAATGGAGCTTTGTTAATGGTTAATCACTGGTATTTTTCTAGATGTTAATACTGGGTAGTAATCATACCAGTAAAACATCATTAATACCAGTATTAACATCTATTAATTAAAATCTATTAACATCTATTAGATGTTTGTTAATCCTAAAAATCAGGTGTTTTTCTTGTAGTCTCTATGTGGATGTCATGTGGTACACCAAATGTGTCATAAAACCATCCCAGTGTCATAAACCATGACTGAGGGTTATTTGCCATCATCACATTTCTAGGGGCATAGCCAATATTAAACCTCTATTGGTTAGTAATGGTTTATCAATGGATAAATAGTGGGTGATAGTTGTTCATAGTTGTTCCCCCATTCTGAAAATATTGATTCTTGATGATTCTTGGATACTAGTTCCCATGCTTAACACTGGGTTAATAGATTATGCTTAGCAACGAGTTATTTCATGGCCGATTGTTCAAGATGCATTAATAATGGAATAATGGGGTCTTAACACCGGGCTAATAATAGTTAATCATGAGTAGTGGTCAATAGTGGATCAACAATGGATTAGCAACAGCCTTTTTTTCTGGGTTAAGGATAGGTTATTTTGTTTCTCTTCAGATCATGTCAGATAACATAACTATGGAAATTCACCATTTTTAGTGGGTAAATCCACTATTCCTATGGCCATTTTCAATAGCTACGTTAAATTACCAGAGGGTATCCCATTCTTCTCCCATGATTTGCCTATTATACTCCCAATATAGCCCACCAAGCCCCAATTTTTTTCCGATAAATGGGGGTTTCCGAGAATGGTGGATCCCCAAGTCACCATGACTTGGATGAGAACTGGGGGTACCCCATGACTTAGGACACCTCCAACTCATGATAAATCCCCATTGATCATTGATGAAATCACATGATTTCATCCCAATTCTTCTCCGATCATCTAAAATCATTGATAATGGTATTTCATAATGGGAGAATAACGGGATCATAATGGGACAATGAATCCCAACGTCCAAAAGATTAAAATCCCCGTTTTTCTCATCCCAAAATTCCCATCTTCTTCGGCCAAAAAAACGCCACGCCACAGGACGTGTCAACCTTTTGGGGATCCATGGGACACTCGGTTTCCGAAAATTCCGGTGGAGGTTTCGAGGAATGTTCGACCTGCTGGTTATTAAACATACCCTCTGGTGAACTAACATAGCAATGGAAAATGGCCATTTATTGTGGATTTTCCCATTAAAAATGGTGATTTTCCATTGCTATGTTAGTTCACCAGAGGGTATCTATGGGTTACATGGCCCATTTATGGTTGATAAAAATTGCTGATCATATCTATGGAACATGGTAAATTTATGGTTGATTGATATTGATTTATGATGATTATCTATTTTTTTAGCGATGATTTTATTGGCGATAGTTACCATCTAGCAAACTAACATAGCTATGGACAATTATCATCTTGTAGTAGGTAAATCAAATATAAATGGGGAAATTTCCACAGCTATGTTAGTTTACAGAGGATAGCTACGGAACATGGCCCATTTAGTTCGATGATTTATGATGATTTACCTATTATTTTCTTGGTGATTTGCTATAGCTATGGCACAAATCATCAGAGGGTAAGCCATGCAAGAGGATGTGTAATCAAGCACTCTATTCCATTTCACCAACAAGTGCCAACACTTATAATAATATGCTGGTATTTCATGGGGAGATATGATTCATGGGCTGGGGATATCTACAAAATACAGTAGCCACTTTATAATGGGAGAAAAAACATGGATATGATGGAAATGTACCCTCTGGTAAACTAACATAGCTATTGAACACGGCTCATTTATGCTTGATTTACCTAGTAAACATGGTGTTTCCCATAGTGCCATAGTTATGTAAACGTTTACCCAAGGGTAATGGGATGAATTTCGCCACTTGATATGTAGCCGTTTATCAACCAACTTCCTGTGGAAACAGTTCAGGACTTGACCCCATCAACTATTTTTTTTCGATGACCTCATCATTTGATGTTGGTCAAAACACCTATAATATATGTATATGTATATATATATGTATATATATATATGTATATATATATATATATATGTATATATATATATATGTATATACAGTATATATATATACGCAGTTACATGATGTTATATGTGTTATGTACATGTATATAGAAATACATGTAGTATACCAGCATAGCTCAACAAAAAATTCAAGGTCAGCGCCCGGTAGACCCATCGAAATCCGGTCACGCGTCTCATGAAGCGAGACGCGCCTAGGATACATCTTCCGCATGACGCAGGAGGGCGAATACGACTGGGAAGCATTCCAGGTCACTGCGATCTCAAAAAATCTGTTGGGGACACCAGAAACAATGCCATAAAGCCACCATCCCCAATTCGAGCAAAAAAAAAATATATATAGGTGGTATATAATATGTTTACCATTCCCAATGGATTAAGATTAAGTGGTTTAAGACATTGGAAAACACCTCGCCCCATAGATTTCTTTAATGAGGCACTAGAGATTTAATCCTAGGCTTGACCCTGAAAAAAGCCAGAGATCTTGGTGGTTTTTTGTGCAAGCAGAACAGTCATAAATTACCACAGATTTGGATCATTTGGATATTCGAACATCCAATCTTGACTATGGATATACCCTCTGGTAATTTAACATAGCTATGGAAAATCACCATGCTATTAATGGGAAAATCCATTATTTCTATGGCAATTTTCAACAGCTATGTTAGTTTACCAGAGGGTAATACTATAGTTGGATATAATCCAAGACTAAATGTTGATATAAAACATCCAATCATTTGGATAATCGAACATACTATACTATTGACTCCCAGAGTATCTTTTGATGGAACGAAATCTGTATAGTCATGATCAGTTGAAGTTACGAAATTGGGTACGTAAGTAAGTGTAACCAATATGATTGTTTACCCAAGAAGACTCTGCGGTTCCACTTTCCATTCTTTTTTGGTGAACCATCATTTTCATTTGGGTATGGGTCAAAATTAGGTACCCCAATAATTGGATGGTTAATACTAAACTAGACTAACATCTGTGGTCCCCTAGGTCTTCCATTTTGACCCACATCCATTTGTTTCTGATTTGGATCCCTCGCAACAAAAACAATCCGCAATAGATTTGTTTCCGGAGCGTCTGGACCGTCTGCAGAGACTCGGGGCAGCTCTACTGGTGTTAAAAGGTGTTTTCCTTTTGAGCATTCCAACAATGAATATATACCATCTGGTTATGCAACATAGCCATGGAAAATCATCATTTTTTAAATATTGTTAATAGGTAAACCACCTATTTCTATGGGCCATCTATACCATGGCAAACTGTTAGTCATAACCAGATGGTAGACTAGCCTTCCAGCAAGAGATGTTCAAACCACCGAAGTTAGGGGGACTCAACTCTCGACTGAACTGACTCACACCCGACTTCATATGGCTATGTATCGAACTTGGGGTACCCTAAAACTGTTCTTTTTTCTTTACAAAAACATGAATGATACCTTGTATCACCTGGGGTCCCCGCACCCTTAGCTTTCAAGAGCCCATATGGCTTCTGGATCATCGTGAGCAATGAGAGGTGCTGTACACACGCTATCCCATGTTGTGTGATGCCCATCTACCTTACTAGAAACATGTCCAGAATTTTGAATATGGGATATATGGCTTTGTCTCAAAATAGGGTTTAATCCCCAAATTCGATGTTTTATAGTCATTTTCTCATTCAACATTGCCATTTAGGGGTATACCTCATGTTCATTCCCAATATTGCCATAAATGGGTGGTACAAATCATCCAAAATGGGAGGTTTATGGCATTGGGTTTGCCACATTAAAGTCACATTTGCAGAATTTGGTGAACATGTGCCAGAATTTGGTGAACATGATGGCACCGTGACTATTTGATAAATATTTGATAACTTTCCATAATAATGGAATGGTTGTAGCACTTTATTTCTCCCATGATGCTTCGTCAAAACAACCACCGAGCTCCATGGTGCCTGGAGCCTCCGAGCGGAGCCTCGCACGTCTCAGATGGAGAACTACTGGTCCTCTGCCATTTGGGTCTGGAGCTTCGTCGCCGCTTTTTTGGAAAGGGTGGACGGGTGGGTTTAGGGTGGATGCAGAGTGGAGGAGCAACATGTGAGTGGTTATTACTGTATATTGGTTGATACTGGTTAGTTAATGATGGTTAGATATGCTTAGTTTATGAACGATTAATCAGATGTAAATAACTTAATCATACTTACTATGGGTTAATATACATGCGAACAAGTATGCATATGAACCTCGTTGTTTGGTTATGAAAGAGGGGGCTATCTACGTAATTTCTGGGGGATTACGATATCTATTCGCCAGTAGAATGGGATGGGATCGGGAATATTTTTCATGGCTCTTGTGAGCAGTTTAACATTCGAAGTTGCTACTTCTCCCCAAAGTATTGGGGATTACCATGAATAATCAATCTATTGTGGGAATCCCCATTAGCCAAGACATGAAATTCGATTTTCCAATAGGTCTTCACACTGCTCATGTGAGGCATACTTGGATGTGCCTCCCAATTTGCCCAACATTGGGGGGTATACGGGTATACACCCCAAAACGGTCATTTTTGATGAGGAAGATGATCAATCTTTGGCTTTTTTGGGTACCCCACTTTTGGACAAGCCCATTTAGTAATTGCCTTGTAACCCTGGTGAAACAGCCAGGGTTGCCCAGTGTACCACTGAAGACTCGGGTGAAACCAGCACTTTTTATGGATCGATCTTTTTGGCGGTCGAATTTTGTGGTTGATTTGGGAAGCCTGCAAACAGAAGCGGCTTCGGATGGATTTGAACTGGGAAGGGTTGCTTGAAACTCTTGAAACAAAAACTGCGTCTTTGAGTTGGGACCTTGAATTGTCGGATCATTTGGGGGGATCATCTGCAAGTCCGCGAGCATCTGAAGCTGATGCTTGAGTCGCCCCTAAGCGAGTCCTACCAGCTACTTGATTTGTAACAAATCAGAACATCCTATTTGGGTACATACGTACACACTTATCATAACATATTTATATAATACTATATATATATGAACAATATTAGATATGATACTAGACCTGATATTGTACTATATGTAGATACATTGAAACCGTGGCATGCTTACCAACCAAGCAGCCCCTCTGTTGGTTTTAGGTCTTCATCAACATGCTGTTGATCAATCTGTTGATCGCCATCATCCTAGATACCTACAAGGAACTTCAAAAGGCCGAAGAATCCCGGGAAGCCGTGCCTTGGACGGAGAGCGGAAACTGCGTGGACTTTTTTGGGGTTAAAAGGTTGTGGTTTGGGATTCATTGGTTTATATGTGTTTATATGACATCCCATATTTACATGGGAATATATTGACGACCTAATATATATATATATAATGGCCCATTTATAGATGGTTTACCTATTAAAAATGGGGATTTTCCATGGCTATGTTAAATAACCGGAGGGTATATTATACATATCCGTATATATATATATATACATATATATATATATTATGTTGATATTATACTGATATACATAAAATACACGTTTTGAAATGTGATGATGTTGGAAAATCCCTCGGTGGCTGCGAGTCATGAGTTCTCTCAAGACGACCAGCGGATTGCCTACTTTTTGAGGGCTGGAAGTTGCCGCTGGAAAGTAGGCTTTCCTCATGTTCATAATGATGTTTATAATCAAATAGGATGTTTAAGACACAAATAGTCAAATCAAAATGATGTAATTAAATCATAATGATACTTTGGGAAATGGTCATAATCAAATAGGATGTTCAAAAGATTTTAAAAAGAGGAGGCCTGAACCAGAGAAAAACACATATTCAGCTGTAAAATGCACAGCCATCTGCGTGGGGGGACAGTGTGAACAAGCATCGGAATAGTACGGAATAGTACGGCTTATGATTGGTTAACATGGTTAACCATGGGAATTATTTTTTGTATCCAAGAATCAATAGTAAGAATGGGGGAACAGCTATGAAGAACTATAAACACCCATCATTAATCCACTGTTCACCATTACTAACAAATAGAGGCTTACTAGTGGGTATAGCCTTAGAAATTGAAATGGAATGATGTAGAATAAGCCCCAGTCATGGTTTATTATTGGGATGGTTCATGGCATTGGGTTTATCACATTAAGCAGTTTGGATAGCGCTTGGATAGCTTAGCAGCCCATTACATTTCCAACTACCGTAGAGATTCATGATTAATTACTTCTCCACTGTGCAACCACCAGTCCGGGATTTGAGCGTTTACCATGTTACCCTCTGGAAAACATACAAAAAAACTATGGAACATCACCATTTTTAATGGGAAAACTCACTATAAATTGCCATTTTCAATAGCAAACTGTTAGTTTAACAGAGGGTATATCCCATTATTATCATTCCATTATTCACCATTGTTAACCATTAAATCACCATTTTCCTATGGTAAACCATAGGGTAAGCCCAGGCCCAGAGGGTACATTCCCTACATCCATTCTTCAGGTGTGGAACACCATGGCGCAATTCTGGTATCGCCTGATCTACGTGAGGACGTCGGTGAATCTGTGGAGGGCTTGGTATACACTGACAGGTCTAAGAGGTTTATGGGGATTATTATAACCCATATGGTTTACCATAGGAAAATGGTGATTTAATGGTTAACAATAGTGAATAATGGGATGATAATGAGATATACCCTCTGGTAAATTAACAGTTGGACCCTGATTTTATCACCAATTTATAGTGGTTTCACTAGTCTTCCAACCCCGATGACTGGCAGGGTCGAACTGTTAATTTACTGGAAAGTATAACCCATATCTATGGAGACCTATCAACCAATTAGAATGGGATGGGTGCTGAATGGGAGTTGTGATGGATCGACCGAACGACCTTGAAGCTTCCGTATGGTTTTCCCGAGTGGTGGATGATGTCATGTAAATGCAGCATCCGTATCATGGTTCCGATGGAAGGCATTTGATGAAAGGGGACATGCAAGCATGTTGATAACTCTTCACCCCAAATCTAGATGATTTGCAAATTTCAATCAAGGAAAACACGACGTGGGTCAACTGGTACCAATTTTTGAGCCAAAACCATATGTTACTGTTGATTTTTTTGCACATGGCAACCCAAAAAGTGTACACGAGTAAAACATGTAAACTCCATTTCTGAAATAGTGATACTTTTACCCTCTGGTAATTTAACATAGCTATGGAAAATCACCATTTTTCATGGGAAAATCCACTATAAATGTGCCATGTTCAATGGCTATGTTAAATTACCAGAGGGTAACCATTTCCGAATCTGTATCTGTTACGTGGTTACTATACATCTTCCCCTTGTCAAACTCAAACGCAGAACCTGTTCCCTCCTGGCAGGAACCATTTCTTTGTGGCCAGATTTGACTCAAAACCCAGCAACTTTGTTAGGCATGTCCTATTTTTTTGGCGTCGCGCAGAATTGCCAAACGATGCACCCACCCAAACTCGAGGGGAAACCCGGAAGATTTCGTGAAAGCACCCTGACAGAAGTGGCTTAAATGAACATCTAGATCTAGATCAACCCCGCAGAAACATTTGGGCAAATCAGATTTCTCTGGGTTTCTTGCTAAAAATCCGCAAAAACTGGGTGAATCTTTTACAGGCAGCTCAGAGTTTGTTTGGAGGAAATCATCTCAGTGAAACCGACCCAGTTTGAGCATTAAAGACCACTAAACAACCATGAATTTTGTTCGTTTCCTCGGTAAAAACACTCCGGAAGCGGATCCCTTGCCATGGCACGACAATGACTGGCCGATGAATGGCAGTTGGGCCGCTGACGATGCCCTCAAGGCTCGTCGGTTGTGGGTCAAGCTTCGTCGTAAAATGCCCTTTGGCAAGCTACGCACTGATTCACATCTCAACATGGATTTTTATTTTCCATCATATATGGGATATATAATCCTTCCCATTGACTTTCACTCCATCATTTTTCAAGATGGGCACATTGCACCACCAACCAGGACAGTAAGGCCAAGTCAGAGATATTGAAATATTTTGGGCGACACGGGACATATGAAGTAATTCATGTGCAATTACATGTAGTAGATGTAAATATCAGCGAACTAATAGCATCCTGAGAACACTTTTCTATCTTTTTGTTGGGGTTGCTATATTCTAGACATGTTTGGGCTGTGAACACTAGGGTGCCTGGGCGAACGAAAACCCTATATATAGCCCGCATATCACAGTTTCTGCTAGCATATCCAATGGGGTGCATGTCAATTGTATATGTCCAATAGAAACCGGCAACCTCCTGTACTTTCACCTACAAATGGACAGGTACCATTCATAGATTACTTTCCCAACAAAAATCCAAGCATAATACTTCCCACAGCTAGATGGCTGTTTCTCAAAATTGGGGTACCCGCAAACTATTACTTACTTGTGCTTAGTAGGGAATGAGGGAATGATCCACAATAACTATCAATAATCATCCCAGCAACCCCCAGCAACCCATCCATTCCCTACTAAGCACCAGTAAGATTAGTTTCTCTACATCAACCATGACCAACAATTTTTTGGGGGCTCTGAACCCGTTTCTGTGAACCCCCCGTATTAACCCAGTACCGTAGTGACAACTATTCTCCATTACTCATCATGATTCACCATCATCAATCACTATTTATATATATATAGTACCATATATATAATACATCATATGATATATCACTATATTAAGTCATCATTCACCATATTGGCCCAGCATTCTTTAAAAAAAATCTCGTGGTGTTCACCATACATGAACATCTGACCGAATCAGAACGACATCACCAATCAATGGATTGGTTCAAGGGAAAATCTGAACCGGAAACCATAGATTTTCCCATTAAATAATCTGAACCGGAAACCAGAGTTATTTTCCCATTAAATATGGAGCTTTCCGGTTTCAATTTTCTAATTTTTCCCTTAAACCAATCCATTGAGCCCAACCATTTCAGGTTAAGCGAATTTATTCTAATTCGGCCAGAGTAATGGAGTAGATCATATTATATCATATTATATCCCATATTTTTGCTGAGTTTCGCGGCACTCAGAGTATCAGGCTGCAAAAAAATATGATATCCCATATGTTGATCCCGTAAATGAAAAAACATATCCCAAATTGATATCCTACAGTTACCCTCTGGTTATGACTAACATAGCGAACTGGTATAGATGGCCCTAATCGAAATAGATGATTTTCCCAGCTATTTGCACCTCCATTCATGGTTGGGATTTTCCACTTCGCTATGTTAGTCATAACCAGAGGCTATTATTTTGATGACTTTACTATATTATGATTCACAGTCATTATATCCCATACTTTCCAGAAATTCATAACCCATAGTATTATATCCCAATATATCCCATACTTTCCATAGTCCATATATAATAACTGGTTATCCCAATATATCCCAGTTGTATTATGACTTTGGACCATAGCTTTCCAGAAATTCAGAAAACCCATATGGATCCCCTTGGATCATATCCGTGGCTCAGGAGAAGTCCGTCCAGGCTCTATGGTACGTGGTTCGTCCAGGTGCGGACTGATCACTTCGTGCGGAAAGCATGGGAAAACGATGGTTAGTCGCGAATGAAATATGATAGAACAACTTTGGGAAAACTATGGCAACGATCATTTTCATATAGGATTATTTTCAATTGTTTTTTGTTATTTTACCATATGGTTTATCATTTTCCAAGGGTTTATCATTTTCATATTGGGAAAAAATCATATGATAAAATATGATTGTCGAATTGACCATAGATATGAAAATATCTGGGAACAACACATATGATAGATATGATTGGCATATGAGTGGGATTGTCCCCTTTTTTTCTCGCTCAAACCAAGCCAATTGATTATCCCTATCGATACTTACCTAGTTATTCTTTGGGGACTAGTATATCTAAAATATCTATATACTGTAGAACCACTACTATAAGCCATGAACTGGAAATCCCTTTTACAACCCAACCCGTTTTTTGAGATCATCCGCGCCGTGCCATGGATGGTTTTTCTTCAACAGGAATTGAAGGACAATCCGAAGGAAAAGCTCATAGTTGCTGGTAAAAACCATGGTTTCCTATGTGTTTACCTTAAAGAAACCCGGCGACATGACATTGTAGCGACCGAAGCCGACGGCTTCAGATCTACAAATTAATGGGTGAACAGCCAATTCTTGTTTGGTTGCAATGCTTTGGGAATTCTCATAAAATTAAGCGCACAGATATTTGTTTAAAGAACTTTAGTTATCTTTACTGCATAATAACAGATCTAATAACATGATCTTAAACGTATTTCATATATCAAAACGTAGCTGCGCTGCCCATCCCAGAATCCCCATGATTCTCCATGGGTCTCCTGGGTCTCCTGTCGAGGCTATATGGTGGCCCTCTTTTTGTTGGGCTGGGCCGCAAATGTGGCGCTCTTCCAGCGGCACTGCATCGACTATGGAGCCGTCTCTTGGATCTCTTGGGCAACATGGGGATGGCCCTAAAAAAACGTGGGAAATCCTTGATTTGAATGGAGGTTTCAATGGAGGTTAATAGTGTTTAATGCTGATTGATGATGGTTAATAATGGTTAATAATGGTTAATAATGGTTAATAATGGTTAATAATGGTTAATAATGGTTAATAATGGTTAATAATGGTTAATAATGGTTAATAATGGTTAATAATGGTTAATGCTGATGGTTACCCTCTGGTAGTGACTGACAGTTTGCTATTGAAAATTGCCCGGTCGAAATAGTTGATTTACCCATCTAAAATGGTGATTTTCCATAGTTTTTTGTATGTTTATCAGAGGGAATATGGGGGGATTTGAATGGAGCCTCGTTTGAGAGGGGAAGCCAAGAAATAGTGGGATTCAACACGATAAATCTTGGAGATATCAAAAGCACGGATTTCAGCTACAAAAAAATTGGACATAACTGACATAACGCTATGTACTGTAGCTGGTTTCTGGAAGATTCTAGGCAAAGATGGCTTTGCCCAGACTTAGGAGGCTCCTCACAAGAACATTTTCCCATGTTTTCCAGTGCTCCAATCCATTGTAAATGATAGCCACTTTAGGGTGGAGGAGTGGGCGCATTTTACCTGCTCCCCTGCATTTACGTGCTCCCCTGCATTTTGGGGGGGTGTTGGGAGCTACCCTTTTATTGCCATTTTATATATAGATGCATCTACCATCTGGTTATTTAACATAGCCATGGTATAGATGGCCCATTTATAGGTGGTTTACCTTTTAAAAATGGTGATTTTCCATGGCTATGTTAAATAACCAGATGGTATCATTTTTGAACACAGCCAGCATGTTGAAACAGGCACCCGGACACATTGACGTGTTGAAATCTCCAGTGTTTAACCACCTGGCTGCGTTTCGAACCAGTTGGATTTACACTGGGCTTCCAAGACCAACGCTTGACCATGAATGACCCTTATTGGGAGTCAAAATCCGTCGGAAAACAATGGTGGTTCCAGCAACAAGCAATCAAACCCAATGGTGTTTGGAAGATCAGGGAGTGGTGGATATTCTTACCTGGTTGGTGGTTTCAAACATTGGTTTAGTATGGGCTAATGATGGTTAATGATGGTTAATAATGGTTAATAATCACTGGTTGGTGGTTTCAAACATTTTGGTGATTTTCCATTTCATATATGGGATGTCATCCTTCCGATTGACGAACTCATATTTTTCAAGATGGTTATTGCACCACCAACCAGTTACATATTCCTGAGATCACCAAATGGGGATGGGTCAAAACCATTCAAAACCTATGACATTATATACCATAAACCGATGAAATTACCAGATGACTAGGGGAATACCCTCTGGTTATGTTAACAGTTTGCTATTGAAAATGGTGATTTAGAAATCGTTCACTTTCCCATGAACAGCATGGGTGGATCTTTCCATTGTTAAATTATATACCATTTAGTTCGTGGATTTTCCCAGCTATAAAATGGTGAGTTTCCCATGAAAGATGGTGAGTTTCCCAGCTATAAAATGATGATTTTCCCATGAAACATGGTGATTTTCCATCGTTTTGTGTAACGTTTACCAGGCCGGGTAACCATCCATCTGCCAGGTGCTGGGAATCACCAAAGATGAGATGGTCTCGGTGCGGTTCCTGGTGGTTTTGGCCGCCCCTCGGATGGGAGAACCTTTTTGGATGGTTCATGCGGAATTCAGATGGAAAATCACCATGTTTAATGGGAAAACCATGGGAAAACCCATGGGAAAACCATGAGAAAACCATGGGAAAATGGGGGATTTAGATGGAAAGATCTACCATGCTATGGGAAAATACACGATTTCGACTGGGCCATGGCTTCAATCGTGATTAAAAGTGGTCACATCATGGGGAAGTCAGATGGATAACAACAATGGTGGTAGCCATGGAGAATAGGAATTCTGGTTGGTGGTGTGGAACATGAATTGTTCAGAATAGGAAGAGAATTATATGGAGACTAGGAATTATATTCCATATATCCCATAAATTTTATTTTCCATTTCATATATTGGGAGACTCCATCATTTTTCAGAGGGGCAGGTATACCACCAAGCAGAATTCTTCGGATTCTTATGGGTAATATCATGGGGAATATCAACATAGATAACATTAATGGATAATGACAACCTATGGGGGTTTCCATAGTCATGGGGGATCCTCAATAGCTGGATGGTTTATGATGGATCCGAAAATAGAATGGAAGATTCGGGGGTACCCCCATTTCAGGAAACCTTCATATGGGAATTCATAGGGATAACTTAAAGTTACCACATGTAGCTAAGTTAGTTTTTTGGGCTTTGTATAGGTACTCTTAGTCAATGTTACCCACTGGTTATTTAACAGTTCACCATGGTATAGATGGCCCATAGAAATAGTAGATGCTTTACCGTTATTAAACATGGTGGATTTTCCATGGCTATGGCACAAATAACCAGATGGTATTTTCGGATGATCGCACGTCCCCTCTTTTTTCGTGGGGCAAAAATCCCATCAATTGGCTTCTCACCAGTTACGATTCGTGGGATCCTGCGTGTCGAGCTGCTGGTGACTGATGGTGTAATGGCGACTGCTTTTTAGATCTGCTGCGACTGGTGGTGACTGGAACATGGCTGGATTATGACTTTCCATAATATATGGGATATTCCATGGTGTTTTTAATGGGATATTCCATGGGATATAATAATCAATCATGGAACCATGGAATTTTATGACTTTCCATTCAGTTGGGAATTTCATCATCCCAACTGACTCATATTTTTTTTAGAGGGGTAGGTCAACCACCAACCAGTCTGGGTGCACTGCATTGTGACAAACTGGCCGACGTGGGGCAGCATGACCTTCAGCTCTGGGATTTTGTGGGACATGTTAGGTGTGACCGCAAAGTGCGCAAAAATGACCTGTTTCGTTGGCATTTTAAGTAGCCTTTTTTGGTGTCTATTTTTGAAGGGTGCACAGAAGACGGACCCCGGGATTTTCTGTTGAGAACTGGGATTCTGCAGAAGGGTAATTTTTTTCAGGGACCGGGACCCTCTGTTTGGTGATTTTGTGGGCAGTCTGGTGATGGGATCCCTCTTCGTGATCGACTGCCTTGGAGAGTTTCTGGCTGGTGACTGGAACCATTGAATTTTGAATGACTTTCCAGATATTGGGAATGGAATCATCCCAACTGACTTTCACTCACTCCATCATTTTTCAAGATGGGCACATTGCACCACCAACCAGGGTTCTTTTTGATCTATGTTCAGGTTTTTTTCAGATGGTTTTCTGGTCACCGGATCGTTTCAGTCGGACAACGCCACCATGTAGTTAGATGCCATCAAACCCACCAACCGAATTGGAGAAAGAATGCTATTGGTGGTTAACCCATATGTTAGCTGGTTAAAAAAAAACACCAAACAACATCCATACACATTTCCATCATTACTCACATTTTCGATGGGTTATAATCTCAGCACATCACCCATTAAATATATAGCTATAAATGTAATAAAAGCCCATGAAATCGCAATTTTTGCTGCTAAATGACACCTTTTCTCGCTTTGCGATTCCGAACTTCACGGGACACCCGCCATGCGCTTCCCGAGGCCTTCCTGGCTCTTCTGCTGAGTTTGCTGCGCACCATGGCCTTCCTCCATGGTCCCTCTGCCGAGCTACTGGCTGTGGTGCTTGCGGGCTATCTGCTGGCGACTCTCGTGGTGCTAGGCCGGGGACACCTACGAAAGATTGGATGATTTCAGAATAGAAACAGGCGATTGAAGCAGCACAGCGATTGGGATTTAGCGAACAATCTTTGTTGTTGGCCAAGAATCGTTTGTGAACCAGCGACAGCACGGGTAGAATGATTTAGCCAGCAATCGATTGGGATTTAGGTTGATTTGATTAGGTTTTTGGAGATTTACGCAGCAATTGAGTGGGGTAGCTGACATATTCAAATCTCAAATATGAACATTGATATGGAGCTGTGACCTGCGAATGATGGGACAATTATCTGACGTCGTGACGTCACTGGAATGATGGCTAGGGGAATCACCGCAAGTGGCGGTGTAACAACTATTTTCAGGTTAGTGATGGTTAGTGAATTATTGTAATTCAGCCAGATAACATGATGAATGCTGGCGGATGCCCTTCTTATTGATGGGCCCTTAGTATGTGAAAGATCCATGCTGTATCTTGTCTCCCCCATTCAATCCATCCTACATAACCATATGGGGGTGCAAGCAGCAACCAGAAAAACATTTTCTTTGTTCGCTACTGTATCCAGATTTGGTTGGTCATACGTCATATCAATATAAATATATATAAATATTATGTCTCGCACAAATGTATGATATAACATTATCATTGTGATGTCTATAAATGTATGATTATGTCACAAAATAGACATGTATTGTGCTATTTTGTCATATAAATCCCGTATGATGTCATTGCCAAAGCATGGATTCTGTGTGGTTGATGAATCCTTAGTAGATACATAATCCTAACTTGACATTATAGACTACCATCTGGTTATGACTAACAGTTTGCCATGGAAAATCCACCAATTTTTAAGAACGGTAAACCATCTATAAATGGCCATCTATACCATGTTAAATAACCAGAGGGTATGTTGATCTGCATATTCTCCATCTGAAATGTGCCAGACCAAAAGTGGGCCTGGCGCCATCCCAAGCCCCAGCTTACCCAGCTTAGCTCCAGTCGTAGGGCAGCAGTCTCCACACCGCTTCCTGAATCATCCTTTGTTCATGTATTTATAGTCTATATTTATATAGTCTTCACAAATTTGAGAGTACTTGACATTATTCTATAGTACTATAGATTCATATTACTATAGTATTATAGTACTATTGAATCATTGTTTATATTATAGTACTATAGATTCTGCATCCTGAATCCTAAGTGACTCACCGCGACTTCACATTTTCCAGGCGGGCTGCCAAGACCGGCCACGTGACGAAAAAAACAACGGACAGAAACGGCCAAAACGGCCACGGGTGCTGACCGCGGTGTTCACCCGTTTGGCCTAGGGATTGTCAGCCGCAAAACATGGGAATTTCATGGAATTTCATAGAATTTCCCTACTTTATCGTGCAGTTCCAGTTTGTAACTATATACTTAATAACTCAACCATTTTAATGTTGTAGTGTCCTTAAGACATTGGACCGTCCCAACACAGCAATGGGATATCTTCATCAAAGTCACCTGAAATGAGGACTCGAACAAGAATTTTAGTAGAGATTTATTTGTGACATAAATACAGAATTTAAGCAACATCCATTACATCCATTTCTTGACGACTACAGGGACCACAGGGAATCCCAAAAAATGGTGTTTTCCGGATGTCCATTGACTTCATCCACAATGTTGGTCGCCGAAAGGAAAGAAATGGTTGTTGGTTAATACACCCAAGCCCAACATCAAATGTCAAAAACCCTACCCTCTGGTAAACGTTAACAAAAAGCTATCGAAAATCACCATGCTATTTATGGGTAAATCCACTATTTCAATGGCCATGTTCAATAGCTTTTTGTTAACGTTTACCAGAGGGTAACATTTTCCCACCACGAGGCCCAGTCACTGGTGGGGTAACCCCGGGTAACCTCTACCGAGGCCATGAAGCACTGCCGCTGGCGTGAGCCCTTCACGCTGGCCCTGTGGCGTTGTGTCTGGCCGGACGGGTCCAAAGAGATTCCCTTCGCGGAGGTCCTGGTGGCGGATGGCTTGACCTCAGCAGCCTGGATCAGATGGTGGATTGGGTGGTCAAAAAGCTAGGTGTTTGGTTAATGTCAATGTCAGTGAGTACCCCCCAAAAAAATCAAAAAAATTAAGGCCTGTTTTTGTATGTGAAATATGTGAATATAGGTTGATAGTGTTTGGTTAATGTCAGTGAGTCCCCTCCCCAAAAAAAAACTAAGAAACGGCATATAGGTTGTAACTTGTAACTATGGGTTTACTGATCATGGGCATTCAACCCTGACCCCAATTCAAGGGGTGGTTGACCACCAACAGCTGCTAATAAGGACTTCTTTCAGATCTTTAAGCATGATGGCAACCATGGTAGTTATAACCCATTTAACATGAGATAGCTGGATCATCCATATAAGAGCACTTAGGATCAGAGAAGGCTCAAGCATGCTCAAGCAATAACCAATCTGTCGATCTGTGGGAGCTCCAAGTTGGGGCATGACTATGATGGGATATTAGGGATGCAAATATCATTAACATTTGGGGATATGTTGGATGATGTGGTTGGGATGGTTATTTGGGATAACGTGGGGTGATCATTGTTCTTTTTTTGGGACATCTTCCAATCCTGTTTGGTGGTTTCAAACATTTCGGCTATTTTTAGCCATAGAAATATGGGATGATGATCCAGTGAGAGCACCAGACCAAGCCAAGCCACCAAGGTGGCCAAGCTCTTTTTTGATCTAACCTTTGGAACCTGCATTGTGAGTTCCTGTCGCTACCGGGGTGTGGAGACTGCTGCCCTAGGACTGGAGCGAAGCTGGGTAAGCTGGGGCTTGGGATGGCTTGGCCCACTGAGAATGGCACATTTCAGATGGAGAATATGCAGATCAACATACCCTCTGGTAAACTAACATAGCTATCGACAATCACCATTTTTGATGGGTAAATCCACTATAAATGGCCATTTTCAATAGCTATGTTAGTTTACCAGAGGGTAGCTACTACCAAACTGGTTCACAGCAACCTGAGAGCAAAAACCAGGGCAACCTTGAGAGCAGGCTATCTACAGTCAATGGCTTGGTTTGTTGGGGAAACTTACTGAATATCTGGTTATCCCTGGTATATTTGGTTATTTGGTATCTTGATGACCAAGCAACTTACCTCATATTTGGCATCTGTACCATATAAGGATCCTAAAATGGAGGTACGTTAGTACCATTTTTCAGGCCATATTTTGCTGAGATATTCCCTGAAATTTAGGCCTGAAAAATAGGCCTTATATATGGTAGGTACCTCCAATTTCGGTTCCTGAAATGGCCATTGACCCATGATTTATCTTATCAAACATGAGGTTTTGCCCTGGTTCAAGACGAAGACCTCGCAGGAGAAGTGGGCCTAGGGACCTTGTCTCCACTGGCCAGACCTGAGCTCAATGCTGCTGCAGAGCTGGCCTCGGCAGTTGCTTGGTGGTGAGTGGGCTCGGTGTATACCCTCCAGATCCATCAGATCCATCCACTAAATTAACATAAATTAACATAGCCATGGAACATCACCATTTTTTATAGGTAAATCATTGACAACAATAGGCTATGTTCATCCATTTTCTAAATCATGAGATGGAATGAGGTTCCAAATTTTGAGGCAACACCTTCAAGAAGGATCACCCTAAAATTAACCTCACTTAGCTGTTAAATAGCTGGTAGTTGTGGCTATTCATCCTCCTTTTAAAGCGGTCAAAGCAATCGACCCATCCCCTTGGGTCAAGTTGAGTACATCGACCCATCGCCGTATTTTGGACCATGGCACATGGATTTTTGAGGCTGCACACACTTGCGAAGTCATGAAAGACGGTCTCTTTTCATGAATGCAAAGTCTGATTACCTCATGGTAGATTGAAGGCATCACTCGGCCATACCGAGTTAAAAAAGGCCAAGCTTATCCGTTGACATTTGAATGTCAGGTTGTTTAAAAGAGAAACCAATACGGCTCAATCAAAAGTGATCATGAAATGACTGAATGACGGCATGCAGGTTCTTGGGTTAGCCTGATCCCATAAAGTACTAACAGATACGAATATGACCACCAGCTATGACCCCAACATATTGGGTATGTCATCCAGGTGCATCATGCAGGTACGTTTTCACAACCTAAGGTGAGCGTCTTCATTGGCACAAGACTCACCAAAGGTCCTTGTGCCCCCTGCTGTGAATTAAGGTGCAATGGTATCCATAATTTATGGAAGAAAGCAGTTAAAAAACTAGTTGGTTGAAATCAGCCGCAAAAAGTGAGGAACTCTTCGGTACAGAGCTTGACACACACACAAAAAGGCACGTAGCCGGGCTTGTATTCCTTTAAAGGCGAGAATGGAAGACATCATCAAGAGATTTGTGAAAAAACCGCAGAGGAACATTTGCAACCTCATCAGCGTGTCAGTAAATATTTTTTTTTGCCACAGCCAAAAGGTTAGGTATGCTTGAGCTGCCTTCTGTACAGGACGCGTTGGCAGTCTGTTTTGGAGAACCCTTTCTGTACATACAGCTGAATGAGTTGGTTGAGATCATCACGGACAAATTCTTTGGGAAACGTGTATCTGCGAATTAAGGTTGCACGGGACTTTAGTCCGGACAAGCGGAGACGCATGCTGCCAGCAGAATGGAGATGACGAATTTCCCATAGTGGAGGTACTTGGTACCTTACGGTTCGTTGCACTACGTCAATGGTGAACCCAAGGAGTGTACCATCTTGGACGGTTTCCAACTCCACCGGCGCTTGATAAAAGAAACAATCGGAAAGCACTCGCATGGGCAGTGCGGAGCGAAAACGGTGGTCAAACAAAATGAATCTGTTGTCCACATATCTTGTGAACAGAAGCCTTTCTGTACATATAACCGAGATAGTGCGTGCAACGAACTCTGTGCTTGACAGGACGGAAATGAATATTTACGAATTAAATGAGCTCGACTCTTCAGTCCGCTCAAACGCAATCGGAGGGTTCCGGCTGAAATGATTGTTCTTTCAGAAACATCAACATAAAAGCCGAGAAGTAAAATTGTCGGCAACCAGCTCCAGTTCGACTGGACTACCATAAAAGTCCAAGTCTGTAAACACTTTGAACACTGGAGCATGAAGATGGTGCTTCTGTACAATGACAAAACGGCTGTCGACGTACCTGATTGCAAGATGATGAAAATTTGGTTGAGTCAGGACTTCTTGATAGGTACTGCTCCACGGTCTCTCGATAAGCGTCACGGCCAAGTTCGAAAGTGTTGGAGAAATCTGACTTCCTATTCCAGCGCCCCTGATTTGGCGCCATACAACACCAAGTGCTGTGAAAAAGTGAGTCCGCTGTACACGTGGGTCGACCCCCTGCCTTAAAACTGAAAAATTGAAAAACTGAAAAACAGAAAATTCGCAAACCCCTTGGAAACAGGGGTTGACCCTACACACAAAAGCCTATCGCCGCTGGTATTTGTCGGCCACAACGCACTGTGAATATCTGACAAAGCGAAGCCTTTCTGTACATATAACCGAGATAGTGCGTGCAACGAACTCTGTGCTTGACATGACGGAAATGAATATTTACGAATTAAATGAGCTCGACTCTTCAGTCCGCTCAAACGCAATCGGAGGGTTCCGGCTGAAATGATTGTTCTTTCAGAAACATCAACATAAAAGCCGAGAAGTAAAATTGTCGGCAACCAGCTCCAGTTCGACTGGACTACCATAAAAGTCCAAGTCTGTAAACACTTTGAACACTGGAGCCTGAAGATGGTGCTTCTGTACAATGACAAAACGGCTGTCGACGTACCTGATTGCAAGATGATGAAAATTTGGTTGAGTCAGAACTTCTTGATAGGTACTGCTCCACGGTCTCTCGATAAGCGTCACGGCCAAGTTCGAAAGTGTTGGAGAAATCTGACTTCCTATTCCAGCGCCCCTGATTTGGCGCCATACAACACCAAGTGCTGTGAAAAAGTGAGTCCGCTGTACACGTGGGTCGACCCCCTGCTTTAAAACTGAAAAATTGAAAAACAGAAAAACAGAAAAATTCGCAAATCCCTTGGAAACAGGGGTTGACCCTACCCACAAAGGTCTATCGCCGCTGGTATTTGTCGGAAAACCGAGATAGTGCGTGCAACGAACTCTGTGCTTGACAGGACGGAAATGAATATTTGCGAATTAAATGAGCTCGACTCTTCAGTCCGCTCAAACGCAATCGGAGGGTTCCGGCTGAAATGATTGTTCTTTCAGAAACATCCACATAAAAGCCGAGAAGTAAAATTGTCGGCAACCAGCTCCATTTCGACTGGACTACCATAAAAGTCCAAGTCTGTAAACACTTTGAACACTGGAGCTTGAAGATGGTGCTTCTGTACAATGACAAAAAAGCTGTCGACGTACCTGATTGCAAGATGATGAAAATTTGGTTGAGTCAGAACTTCTTGATAGGTACTGCTCCACGATCTCTCGATAAGCGTCACGGCCAAGTTCGAAAGTGTCGGAGAAATCTGACTTCCTATTGCAGCGCCCCTGATTTGGCGCCATACAACACCAAGTGCTGTGAAAAAGTGAGTCCGCTGTACACGTGGGTCGACCCCCTGCCTTAAAACTGAAAAATTGAAAAACTGAAAAACAGAAAAATCGCAAATCCCTTGGAAACAGGGGTTGACCCTACACACAAAGGCCTATCGCCGCTGGTATTTGTCGGCCACAACGCGCTGTGAATATCTGACAAAGCGAAGCCTTTCTGTACATATAACCGAGATAGTGCGTGCAACGAACTCTGTGCTTGACAGGACGGAAATGAATATTCACGAATTAAATGAGCTCGACTCTTCAGTCCGCTCAAACGCAATCGGAGGGTTCCGGCTGAAATGATTGTTCTTTCAGAAACATCAACATAAAAGCCGAGAAGTAAAATTGTCGGCAACCAGCTCCATTTCGACTGGACTACCATAAAAGTCCAAGTCTGTAAACACTTTGAACACTGGAGCTTGAAGATGGTGCTTCTGTACAATGACAAAAAGGCTGTCGACGTACCTGATTGCAAGATGATGAAAATTTGGTTGAGTCAGAACTTCTTGATAGGTACTGCTCCACGATCTCTCGATAAGCGTCACGGCCAAGTTCGAAAGTGTCGGAGAAATCTGACTTCCTATTGCAGCGCCCCTGATTTGGCGCCATACAACACCAAGTGCTGTGAAAAAGTGAGTCCGCTGTACACGTGGGTCGACCCCCTGCCTTAAAACTGAAAAATTGAAAAACTGAAAAACAGAAAATTCGCAAACCCCTTGGAAACAGGGGTTGACCCTACCCACAAAGGTCTATCGCCGCTGGTATTTGTCGGAAAACCGAGATAGTGCGTGCAACGAACTCTGTGCTTGACAGGACGGAAATGAATATTTACGAATTAAATGAGCTCGACTCTTCAGTCCGCTCAAACGCAATCGGAGGGTTCCGGCTGAAATGATTGTTCTTTCAGAAACATCCACATAAAAGCCGAGAAGTAAAATTGTCGGCAACCAGCTCCATTTCGACTGGACTATACCATAAAAGTCCAAGTCTGTAAACACTTTGAACACTGGAGCTTGAAGATGGTGCTTCTGTACAATGACAAAAAAGCTGTCGACGTACCTGATTGCAAGATGATGAAAATTTGGTTGAGTCAGAACTTCTTGATAGGTACTGCTCCACGATCTCTCGATAAGCGTCACGGCCAAGTTCGAAAGTGTCGGAGAAATCTGACTTCCTATTGCAGCGCCCCTGATTTGGCGCCATACAACACCAAGTGCTGTGAAAAAGTGAGTCCGCTGTACACGTGGGTCGACCCCCTGCCTTAAAATTGAAAAACTGAAAAACAGAAAAATCGCAAATCCCTTGGAAACAGGGGTTGACCCTACACACAAAGGCCTATCGCCGCTGGTATTTGTCGGCCACAACGCGCTGTGAATATCTGACAAAGCGAAGCCTTTCTGTACATATAACCGAGATAGTGCGTGCAACGAACTCTGTGCTTGACAGGACGGAAATGAATATTCACGAATTAAATGAGCTCGACTCTTCAGTCCGCTCAAACGCAATCGGAGGGTTCCGGCTGAAATGATTGTTCTTTCAGAAACATCAACATAAAAGCCGAGAAGTAAAATTGTCGGCAACCAGCTCCAGTTCGACTGGACTACCATAAAAGTCCAAGTCTGTAAACACTTTGAACACTGGAGCCTGAAGATGGTGCTTCTGTACAATGACAAAACGGCTGTCGACGTACCTGATTGCAAGATGATGAAAATTTGGTCGAGTCAGAACTTCTTGATAGGTACTGCTCCACGGTCTCTCGATAAGCGTCACGGCCAAGTTCGAAAGTGTTGGAGAAATCTGACTTCCTATTCCAGCGCCCCTGATTTGGCGCCATACAACACCAAGTGCTGTGAAAAAGTGAGTCCGCTGTACACGTGGGTCGACCTCCACTAGAGGGAAGGCTGAAAACGGTCTCAAGGGAGGAGGAGCAGGAACTCTGGGAGGAAGAACATGCGCTCTGGGAGGAATGTTTCCAACATACGGGTCCCAAAGACCAGTATGAATGTGCCATTGACCTGGTGGAGGACGGAGAGCTTGAGAGAAAGAAGAAAGAGCCGTTCTAACTGACCTACCTCTTTCAGATCTCGAAGTGGACCTCAGAGAATGGTGATCACGATGATGGTGACGGTGATGGGATGCTCGATGACGACGTCTTGTTCTGGATCTGGAGAAACTTGATGTTGTGCGTCTTTCCTGTTTGTCATCATCTGTTCCAACCGGCACCTGAGGTTGGACTGCTGACGGTCGACGAGGTACGGAGATCGTTCCTGGAATTGCGGCTGGGGCTACTACCGGAGTTGCTGGAGGAGCATGTGGTGTCAATGCCAGTCTTACTGCTGGCTTCGCCGGTGCCTTGGGTGGCCGAGGTGGAGTCGGGTCCACGTTGCCGGCCACAAAATAAACATTATACACCGGAGTCGACATGGCTCAGAAATCTAGAGAAAGGAAAATGGAAAATGTGTTGTCTAATATGACAACTTGCTAACTGTACAAGGATTGATCAGTTAGACAACTAACAAATGATAACGTATTGTTGCTTGCTCAACTGTACACCAAAAGGCATTCATGTGTACAAACACAATTCATCCATTTGGAATTCAATGCTGAGGCTTCAAGTGTGGAATTCAGAAAATTCATCTTATTGGTGACTATCAGTCGCCAAAATTGTCAAAAGTCAAATTCAAGTTCAAACTCAGTGGATTCAAGCTATTTTTGCCGGATAGCATACCGGGATCTATTCTCTCAAATGCACGCTTTGTGTCAGAGACACACGTTCAATCATTGCAATGAGCCACCGTGGCTGAATTCAAGAGTCAAATTCACTTGTGGATTCTCGCACTCCCAGGGGAGATACGACGCCTGGAATTCCAGGATCACGACCGGACTTTGACAGATCCCACGGCCGAAATACACACTTGCGAAGTCATGAAAGACGGTCTCTTTTCATGAATGCAAAGTCTGATTACCTCATGGTAGATTGAAGGCATCACTCGGCCATACCGAGTTAAAAAAGGCCAAGCTTACCCGTTGACATTTGAATGTCAGGTTGTTTAAAAGAGAAACCAATACGGCTCAATCAAAAGTGATCATGAAATGACTGAATGACGGCATGCAGGTTCTTGGGTTAGCCTGATCCCATAAAGTACTAACAGATACGAATATGACCACCAGCTATGACCCCAACATATTGGGTATGTCATCCAGGTGCATCATGCAGGTACGTTTTCACAACCTAAGGTGAGCGTCTTCATTGGCACAAGACTCACCAAAGGTCCTTGTGCCCCCTGCTGTGAATTAAGGTGCAATGGTATCCATAATTTATGGAAGAAAGCAGTTAAAAAAACTAGTTGGTTGAAATCAGCCGCAAAAAGTGAGGAACTCTTCGGTACAGAGCTTGACACTGACACACACACACACACCAATTTATATATACACATCAACATATACATACATATATACTATGATGCATACACAACATGGTGCTAACATGTTCTAGCAGCTCTAGCTTCTGATCATGCAATTGTGATGTTTGGGAGCATCCGCCCCCGCGACCATTATATACCTCTTTGGTATACAGCGATGGCAATAGAATTTGCCATATCCGCCCCCGGAACATCATTTGTAGCAACCTCCAGGCCGACCAACGGCCCCACAACTCATTGGTTCGAAAGAGTGGTGCAAGCAACACGATTGTGGCAGTATTCATGGAAAATACACAAATTATTCTGGTTGGTGGTTTGGAACATGAATTTTATTTTTCCATTCAGTAATTTCATCATCCCAACTGACTTTAACTCCATCATTTTTCAGAGGGGTAGGGCTCAACCACCAACCAGTAGATATTGATATTATATGGTAGATAGTTACCTATCAATCCCATTCTATAAATCACTGATGGGACAAAACAAATCCCATCAGTTTTTATTTCTTTGGGGTATAGCCGTATAGCCCATTTTTCAGACAAATCCAGGTTTCAAAAGGGAATGATCCCAGGAAAATCACATTCGTAATGTCATCATCCCAACCCCCAGCAACCCATCCATTCCCTACGTAAAACGCACCAGTAAGTTGACGTCATGGTTTTAATCTGTGTTGGCTGTGTTCTATCCCGTGGTTTCTATCCCCATATCTCAAATTTCTTGGTGAAATCATCGTAAAATCCACCAGTAAGTTATATCTGTCAACTTCATCAGTTGGCCTTTTCTGCCATCGCGGCTTGCGCCATCGCTGCGGGCTGAACTTTTTATGCCCGGATCTCTGTAAGCGGCCGGGAAGAGAAGTGTTTCTGTAATGGCTTGATGTTTTGATATCTTTGGCCACACATGGGCATTAATATATATATATATATGTGTATATATATATATATATATATGTACATATATAGGGTATATACTACTCAGCCAAAGAGTTAATTATATATATATATTTTGCTGGGGATGTGGGGAGTATCCAATTATACGTCGGCGAAACAAGCTGGTGCAGTGAGGTGGAGCAATGTAGTCGCTCATGTTTGCCCTATTTAGCCTCTTGGCTGCGAAGCAATCTAAAGGAGGCGACGTGGGGATGGCGGGGATCTTCAAGAATTGTAGCTGAAATGGATTTGTTTAACAGTTTGCTATTGAAAATGACCCATTTTGTTCGTTGATTTACCCAAAAAAAGACGGTGATTTTCCATAGCTGAAGTGGGATTTCAAGGGTTTCAAGGTCTTTTTTCACTGGCCATATGAGAAATCCCAGAGTTTTTGGTTGAACTCAAACTCATGTGGAAAATCACTTATCGGTTCCCCCAAAAAGCATAGCCACTGGTAATCTAACATAGCCATTGAACATGGCTTTTTTTTTCAATAATTTCCTAGGTAAATCATCTAGAAATGGCCAATTCTTCATGTTTATGCTAAATACCAAAGGGCAATGCCAGTATTTGGGCCAAAATGAACATATCATATCTAATCCACCCACCCTCCAAATTCTGAGGCCTCCCGGTGTGCTGGGTACTTTCCTGTAAACATTCACATAGATACGGAAATCCAATGAAAACCCACCATTTCTGGATCGTTTTTCTACAAAAAAAGATCTTTATTTTCCACATAAATATGTTCGTTCGACCATGTTTTTCCAGCTTTTTCCCTATGTTTTCAACCTCATCCCAGCTACCAGGGCTTTTCCCCTGAGGCCTGGTCGGTGCCCTTCCTGATCCGTGCGCGGCAGTGCGTCATCACGGCGCGGCACGCGCCGGACGCGTTGAGCCGCGACCTGCAACGGATCAACCTGGCGAAGTACTGCAGCGCGCTGCCGGTGGTCTTCTTTGCCATGTGTGGCCCTGATGAAAAGTTGGATAATATTGATAATATAATGGAAATAATTATTATCAATATGGTGATATTATCCATTATTGATAATATAATCACCATTATTGATAATATTATCACCATTGTTGAACAATGGGAATATTTATGGGAATATCAACATAATGAAAAATAAGTTGGATAATAATGAAGATCATGGGAAATTTCAACAACAATATGAGCATATCAATGGGACTATAATAAGATATAACCATTTCTTAGAGGATGGAAATAAGGAAAATGCCTTTTCATAGGGATCTTTACGGATCCATTATAAGGATTTCCATTCCACCACATACAGCACATGTGTTCCCTGGGAGACTATGGACCTTGCACCAAAGGTACATACATGATGGGCACAAGTTGCTCAAAAACCATCAAAAACCATCAAACACCTTGATCCACCTTAATGTTTCTTACCATCCAGGTATCTGGGGCCACCCAAAAAGGGCCCAGGTCATGCGCGGGTCATTCCCGGCATCTCCGATCTGTCGATCTTCACCTCGGAAGACTTCGAAGTGCTGTGGGCACTGGCGGCCATTGCCCGCCGGCGCGGTTGGGTAGCCTTTACGCTCGGTGGAAGGCTATGTTTATATAAGGTCTAGAAATGATTGGAAGAGCTCTAAATATACGTAGATAGATATAGTATGATTATGTATGATTCATATTTATAGAGTTGTGTTTTTTTTTGGTAGTATATTTACTTCATATTTTCAGAGCTCTTTTTTTTAGAGGACGTCTAACTCTCACAAAGGCGGCGCCCGCTCACCCCATGAAGTCTCCTGAGGTGAACTCGGCCTTTTCCTTCATCTGGGATTTAGCGCCTCGCTGGGATTGGGACTGGGTTGATGGTATCGCATCCCTGGATTCCTGCGAAGTGGCTACCCTCTGGTAAACGAACTAACATAGCTAATGAAGATTCTCATTGAGTTCGTTGATTTACATATTAAAAATGGTGATTTTAACCATAGTTAAGTGATGTAAACGTTTACGGGTACCAAAAAACGATGCCTGAACTGTGATTTTTAGATCAGCAGATCCTGGATGACAAAAAACTCATGTGATTTGATAGTGGAGACTGAATTTAAGGGTATTCATTGGAGGAGAAGCATTTTTTTTTTTCGGATGTTTGTTGATTTTGTTTTGAACTTGTCACGTCGTGAATTGGGATCTGTTGCAGTTTACTGTGGTGCATATCTTATATCTGAATGTTTACATGTTCATAGTTTTATTGGTAAACCATCCCAAGACTTTGTTGGTCAGCAAATGTTCATCGATCAAACATCATCGGAAAACTGGCGAACTCTCCATGGTTTGTTGGGTTGAATCCTTATTCTTGTTGCTTTCCTTAGATCTCTACAGTGGTTACCCTCTGGTAAACTAACATAACTATGGAAAATCACCATGTTTAATGGGAAATTTTATTTTCCATAGTTATGTTAAATTACCAGAGGGTAAATCATGTTCAATACCCGTTGTTCATCGTTTTTCATGGTCAAAATACCGGCCGTTTTGTTGTTGCGAAATCCCCATTGTTCGATGGTCAAAGTGCCAGGTCATGGACTGGGGTTTGCTGCATCTGATGCCCCACAAACCCGGGAACTTTGGTCTCAGACCGGTACCTCGGTTGAGGGACACGGGTTTTGGACGGGGATATGGAGATTTACCGGAATTTACGGTGATAGAATTGGTTGTTGGTCACACATTAAATCTATCACATATAAAATTAACTATAGTCTATAGTTATATAATGTTATATATATAATATATCTATACGCTGTAGGAAAACGAGGTATATTTGTGCTATGTACCATGTTTTTGTGCAGGATGCTGGGCCAGGTATATGGAGGAACATGTATATATGCTACATATGTAGACAAGCTACTGCTATGTTCTTTTTATCTTAACTGATATGTGTGTAGGGTATCTAAGGTTAGCATTAGCAATGTTTCTTGCAAGCAGGTTTGGATATGGTCAAATCGTATCGCAGAAATCAGTGGGATGGTATGAACATGTTGATGTTTCCATGGCCAGTGGATTTGTGGGTTTGAGGATCAAACACATTGTAATGACACGTCATGACATGCATACTCCTTTCAGGGTTTCAACATGCTTCGATCTTGGAGTGGGTCATGAATCGGTGTTCCGCTAAAACTATGATGGAACCCTATAAAACGGCCATTTTCCAGCTTCGCGGGGTTTGTTTGAACGTGGGGTGCCCCCAATTTTAATAGATTATATCTTCATGTTACAAATTAAAATGGCAGTCTTGGGGAGATATCATGCTATATCTGATTTTCGGACGACCCCACATCATTTTTTCCACTTTCTTTTTTGGAAGTTCCAAACCTTCAGGTCCGGGTGGTTGTAAGGATTGAGCAACAGCCATGAGGTCTTGCTGTATCCGCAGCCACCCATCGTCTACTACTTGGCCATTGCGCTTCGGCTGCGCGTTGGCGGAGTCACCCACTTTGGTTGCTTCACTCATGGTTTTGGTTGGCCCATATTTTAGGGGGTCAACCCCGTTTCTTTTTTGGTGGGCTAGCTCCACTTTTCCTGTTTTCATATCTTGAAGTTTGGTTGGTGGAATTCCACATTTTCGCAAATCCAAAGAGATATCATAGATCCATATAGATCCCGTTTTGGTTTTCCTGCTCAATCAGTGTTTCTGTTGCTTCAACAACAAAAACTTTATCTGATAACCCTAGGGAAAGATCATGAAAGATCCCTTTGGCTCAACCTTGGAAGCCTATGAAGCCTATGAAGCTACTTATAAACCAAGGTTATAGGCTTATAAAGCTATGATTACCTTGTTATAAGCCATGTATCCTATGGTTTATAAGCCTATGATTTCTATAAACCAACTCAGCTAAGAAATTCATTCCCACTATATATTCCCACAGTGATTCTATGGAATACTCTAGATCTAGCAATTTTTGTATCTCAAACATTGCATATCAACTCCAATTGACTAGTTCGATATATCGACCATATATCCTCTGACATATAGTTGCGTATAAACTACATTCAATGTCATCTGTATCATTTTATATGAAACTTTATTTTAACCTGTAGATATTAACTATAGAGATTCACTATAGATCTATAGGCAATTTCACCCTATCAACATCTATCTAGAGTTAATAGTCAGTTAATATACAGTTAATATCTATAGTTAACTATAGTTAATACCTATCTATAGTCATTTTGCGCCATTTTTGTTCGCCATATCCGGAGGTCTTGAACTTCATTGGCCGCACCTTGTGGTCCTTGCGCTGGTCCGAGCAGGTGGAGCGCCGACCGGGACCCTGGGAGGTCCAGGTGTTTTTTTTCTTTTTTTTTGCCATTGAAATGATGGTTTTTAATGATAACATACATCTGATTCATCTGATGTTTTTTTTTTTAAATATTTGATGATATTTGATGGTAAGACATCTGATTCATCTGATGATTTTTCTTTTGATATTTGATGATATTTGATGGTAAGATAGAGTAGTATGTGAAATAACTTCATCTGATGTTCTTCATTGAAATCATGTTACAGTCAATGAAACAATCTCCGACAATGAAGACATTGATAAAATAAAAAGCAAACTGAAAGCTGACGTTTTATCAACATTGATGAACATGGTGAATTGATGATTATTAACAGTATTAACATTGATGATGAACATTGATGAAAACAATCAACAGCTGGCGTTTCTTGTCAAGCTGACTCTTCATGTTTTCTTGCTTAGCAAAAATGCTGCGGAAGCTCTGATGGTTCATGGATCACCCATCGGATACTGTTATATGGCTTTGTCTGAAAATGTTGGGTATATTCCCAATGAAATAGCCATTTAAAAACGGGATAATAGGGATAATGATCAGCAAAACCATTGGGTTTAGGGGTACACTATTTTCAGACACACCCATATAAATCTTCCCCTGAATCACCAGCAACCAGCAGCCAGTCCCGTGAATCACCAGCCATCGGTGCAGCTCACAGTTTTAGGATCCCATCGATCCCCAAAAAATCCCACCTTTCATCATCATCTTGCGATAAAAAAAGACATGTTGGTTACCAATCCCGATAAAATCCTATGTTTTTTTTTTGCGGTTAATGAACAAAATTTAATGAACATGAAATTTCATGTTCTTTCTCTCTGTCTCCATGGCTACGCATATGATCACATATGTCTATATTGCTACAGCAATTTGAATTAACTGATGTCTATATTACTTTAACTTCTCCGAAAACACAATATATATATATATACATCATTAATTACATCATTAATTATCTACATACATATCTCTATATATATAATATATATCATATCATATCACACACACACATATATATATATTATATATATACGTATGCTTATGACATCTGGCAGGCGACGATCTTCCTGGGCGCCTTCTTTCTCTCCAGCGTGCAGCAAGCGGCCGAAGTGCTACGGCGCTGCCTGTGGCGTCTGGGACGGACTTTGCTGACCTGGGGAAATTCCTGGGGAAATTCCTGGGGATCTCTTATGAATATAATGGATAATGGATGATGGATAGTGGAGAATATCATGGATAATCCATGGATAATTCAGTTATAGATCATTATAGATTCATATTTCATCTATGGATGTAATGGATATGTACATATAATCTTACTAATATTCGATAATGGATATGATGGGTCGAATCTATGTGTATAATGTACACACTGGATGTAATGGATGTGATTGTGATGGATGCAATTGGCAACAACAAACAATGTTCAATAATTGTGTGAATCAGTGGGTAATAGTGGGATAATATTGGCTTAATGGAATAGAATGGACATATTAACGAAAATGAGGCTACAAAACCACTTGATGTGGGGATGTAATAGGATTTAAAAGGGATATATATATAACTAGTACAACCAACAAACTGGATATGGCTTCATCTCAACATTTTTTTTTTTCGGTCTACCGGTATACCGTATGACCATCCCTTGGGTCAAAGCCGCGCCTGGATGGAGGTTGCACAGCAATTTTCCATGAGGACTGCACAGAAGATTTCACCACTGGGATCCAAGTGATCCAAAGGGCAGAAAATGGAGGGTACCCTCTGGTAAACATACAAAAAACTATTGAACATGGCCATTGAAATAGTGGATTTACCCATTAAAAATGATGATTTTCCATAGTTATGTAAAGGTTTACCAGAGGGTATATCAATTTTTCATCAGAAAACTATGGGAGATTGAAGCAACCTTTCTGGCATTGAAATGCAAGAAACCCAGCAAGAAGCCCAGGGTTTTCATCACGAGAATCAAAAATTCTGAGAACCGCTTCTGGGATTTCATCAAAAACAAGATTTTTCCATTGGCAGAAATCGAACAGACATGAAACTAGAAGTGATATCCCAAATCACATGCGTTTGTTTGAATCATGAATAGGCCATGACCCCCAGTTACTTCGTTCTTCGGGATGGGTTCAGACTATGATCAACAAGGAGCTTCAGACTGAGTGGTAGGTGGTCAATATCACCATTGTATCTCCAGTATATATATATATATCCATTCTATTCATTGTATCCATCATATCCCCATGATATTCATGATATCCCCAAGTTTTAGTTTTTTTTTTTTTTTCCACCAAGTACTTGTAGATCATTTTTCACCAACCAGACAACTCGTCACTCGCTGATTCTTTCCCGACCGGGCGCTGAGGAACGTCCTACGCGTGGAATGGCAATGCATCTGCAAGGGCAAATGTGCACGAAACGACAAGAGTTTTCCAGTTTGACATGGGTCAAAGATCATAGATGTCCCAAATTCCCATTGGTTGTTTGATGAAAAAAGAGGAGTTTCTTCAGGTTTACCCCTGAAAAACAACAGGTTTGTTTGATGATAGATGGGATTAACCAGCTCCCGGCCCCTCTATTCCCAAAAGGACATCCAGTTGGGTCAAAGATGGTCAAAGCAATGGTCAAAGATGGGACAATGCTGTTGGCTGTTGAAGATCTTGGGGTATTGAAAAGTCATATCCTCTGGTTATTTAACAAAAAGCTATTGAAAATGGCCATAGAAATAGTGGATTTTCCCATTAATAGCATGGTGATTTTCCATAGTTACGTTAGTTTACCAGAGGGTATTTTTTGGGGAGTGAACTCTCCATGTTGCGACAGGAAAAATGCAGGCCAAGCCGAATAATCTGGCTGGCTACCCAACCTGGTTATGACTAACATAGCCATGGTTTTTCGATGGCCCTAATCAAAATAGATGGCTTACCGTTCTTAAAAATGGTGATTTTCCATGGCTGTGTTAATCATAACCATATGGTAAATCCCAATTTTTGTTGCTTCATAAGTTCATCCAACATGATTTTTGCAGGTGAAACTGGGCATTTTTTGCGAAACTGAAACGGCATCCCGATTCTTTGGGTGACCATGACGTCTGACATGACCCAAGCTCAACTGGACAGGCTGGCACAGATCAGAAAATGTCGCTCAACCGGGCTGGGGGATAACCTTTGTGAATGGTAGCTTCGTAGATGTTGTTAGGCATAAATGGATGTAGATGGCTGGTTGGTGGTGACTGGAAAATAGTGATATTAATGGTGGTTAATAGGGTATAATACCAACAACAATGGGAATATGATGACGATCTGGTTGGTGACTGGAACCATTGAATTTTGAATGACTTTCCATATATCGGAAATAGTAACCCCAACTGACGAACTCCATCATTTTTCAGAGGGGTAGGTATACAACCAACCAGATGGTATCGGATGGTATCAGCTACGTGTCACGAACTGAACTTGGCAGGGCTCAATGGATTGGTTTCAGGGACAATTTACCCGAAAACCCCAAGACCCTCCATATTTCCCCAGTAAACGTTTACATAACTATGGAAAATCACCATTTTTAATGGGTAAATCAACTATAAATGGCAATTTTCAATAGCTTTTTGTATGTTTACCAGAGGGTAATGGGAAAATCTATGGTTTCCGGTAGATTTTCCCTTAAACCAATCCATTGAAGGGCAACTGAGGTTAGCCATGAGATTATGTGCGAGACGCATCACCAAATCACCTTGGCTTGATGTGAAACTATGCAGGGGATTTGGCCACTAAAGCACATGATAGCAACCCATCAACTATTCTTAACCAATTATTCATGATTATAAACCTAAATTAACCATGAATCATTAACCAACCATTAATAACCATTAGTAATAGCCATGAATAATCATTAGTAATCACACTTATATAATAGTCATTCACAATTGTCAATTAATCATATATCATATCTATACTTAACCAACCTGTAGATCAATACTTATCCTCCAGGACGTGGTCGGAGTCGAAACATGCTTGGTGGTTTTGGCTGTTTGACATTCACCGGAAGAAAGTAGAAACATATGTGGAAAACCAATGGTTTCCGATCGGAAAATGATCTACAAATGGGAGATTTTCCACATCTATGTTTTTTTTTTCCAACTGCATCTCTTCAAGTTTTTGAGGCCCCTTATCCCCCACCGGTGGATTTTCTCGGTTGATTTGACCGTTGGTTGAGTGATCAATTAGCTATACTAGCCTGATCATGACCCAACTCTACCTTCATATTGCTGTATTATTTTACTATTATTATTGTTTACCATTGATTTTCACCATTGATTTTCCGATTGGAAATGACTACCAGTAGTACCGCACAAGGCGGTGGCGGAAGTTTCAGATTAGGACACCTATAGGGGAGCTTGGTTGTCGTGAATCACGGATGGCAGAGCGAATCCACTGATGGACTGAAAGGTGGTTGGAGTTGTGTTTTTTGGAATGGTTACGATGGTTGCAGTGGTCACCTGGTCGGTCACCTCACCCACAACTGCTGGATGTAGTGTGGTGTAGTGCAGCTGTAGTTGTAGTGTAGTGGAGTTGTCGTTGTGGTGTAGTGTGTGTAATTGGTGTAGTGTAGTTGCAGTTGCATGTGTGGTGGTGTAATGTGTAGTGTAACGTAATGTAGGGTACTGTAGTGTATTGTAGTTGTAGTTGCAATTGTGGTTGTAGTTAGTGTAGTGTAGTGTAGTGGAGTTGTAGTTGTAGTTTGTAGTTGTAGTTGTAGTTGCAATTGTACTTGTAGTTCTCGTAGTTGTAGTTGCAATTGTAGTTGTAGTTCTTGTAGTTGTAGTTCTTGTAGTTGTAGTTGCAATTGTAGTTGTAGCTGTATTTGTAGTGTAGTGTAGTGTAGTGTGGTGTAGTGTAGTGTAATTGAGTGTAGCGTAGTGTAGTGGAGTGTAGTGTAGTGTAATGTAACTAGTGTAGTGTAGTATAGGGTAGTGTAGTGTAGGGTAGTGTAATTGAGTGTAGCGTAGTGTAGTGGAGTGTAGTGTAGTGTAATGTAATTAGTGTAGTGTAGTGTAATGTAGTGTAGTTGTAGTTGTGGTTGTAGGCGTAGTTGTAGTTGGAGTTTTAGTGGAGTGAAGTGGAGTTTTTGTACTGCGACTGCGACGGAAAATGCATCTTTGCAGATCCTCTTCAAATGTCCCACGCCTGCCATTGTTTTTTGAAATGCTAACCCTCACGTTTTGCTCACTTTTGACAAGGTGCGCAATCCCTTGCGCCTGCCACGCAAAATCACATCTGAACCTTCAAAATAAGTGGTCCGGGCATGTCGTGCTTTTAACATTTTGACTTGCAAATGTGCTTCTCGCCACAACGGCGTACACTTTTTCGACACTCAACTTCCAAAAGTGTTCCAAGGCTGAAGTGCTTTGTACATTTTGACTTGGAAATGTGCTTCGCGCCACAGCGGCGTGCACTTTTCCGACAGCTCAACTTCCAAAAGTGCTCCGAACGTGAAGTGTTTTTAGCGTTTTCACTTCCAAATGTGCTTCGCGACGGTGTGCAACTTTTCATCTCTCATCTGGACAGATGGCTCCGAACCCGCCGCTTTACAAGCCTACTTTTCGACCCTTTCGCGGCTTTCCTACCTTTTCACGCACCTGCATCTTCTTTCTTCTCACTCTTTCCCTTGTCTGATCTTCTCTCTTCTGCTCTTCTCCTCTCTGACTCTTCCCACCTCTGCTTTTCCATTTGTCCATATGTTCGGAAGTTTGACTTCTAAACTTCATTCGCTTATTATTATTATTACTATTATTATTATTGTTTATTAAAATTATTATTCTGTTTATATTTACACCTTCAAGAGTTCAAACCACCAAACTTTGCTGCAATTTTCTTCAACTGCGGCTTGCACCAGTGAATCTCTGCAATCGAGCCGCAAGTGTTTCACCGCGTCGAAGCAGCGGCGACGGCGCGAACATGGGGAGGGTGGAGCGCGCAGGGGACCGTGGGGGAAGCAGTTGGCATAGCGAGAGAACAAGGAAATTCTGAAGAGCCATGTGGAGGTTTCCTAAAATAGGGGTACCCCTAAATCATGCATTTTAATAGGGTTTTCCCTTGTAAACCATCCATTTTGGGTACCCCCATTTCAGGAAACCTCCATGTTTGAATCCCCTGAAAACTCAAGTGTGTTATAAATGTGTCTGTGTCATATACTTATAGTATATAGTATGTACTTATAGCCAACAACTTGTTGCGTGTAATTTATCCATACTTATGTTTTATACACATACTCATCCATATTCATGTTTCAATATGTTTTATAGGTAGACTACACATAGAGAGGTAGACAGGGGTTCGCTTTCGGTTTTATCCATGTACTGTCATCCATTGAACCGTCCCATTTTTGAATTTTGGACGGTTCAAACCGTCCCATTTTCGAATTTTGGACGGTTCAATCAAGTCAAATATCATTTGTTGATGGTGAAATTTCTTATGTTTGGTGGTTTCTAGGGGCACATATGAACATACACTAACCACAATTCAAACCACTACTAGCCCTTGTTGTCCACCATTAATTCTTATCCATGATCAAACCATCAGATATTGCCTACCTATGTCTATCTACCTATGTCTATCAATTCCACTCATTGTCAAATCCACCATTTTTTGCCTTATATGACCTTTTTTTTTTAAACATCTCCCAGTGTTCCGTACAGGATGGTGCCCCCCAGTGATGTGAATGTTGGTTCATCAACCCCATTAATACTAGTTCGGTATATCTACCATAAACCATAGAATTCAACCACTTTTTTTAGGCAACTGAACGCGAGCTCGACTGGGGGCCCCATCCTGTAGATATAGATCCAACATTCCCAGGAGATGGGTCAGCGAACTGGACGTGGCCAAGTTGTGTTTTTCGGCATTTCTTTATCCGGCACGTCTCCGGGCGGATGAGTTTTCCAAGTGCGAAATCATGGTGAAATCCTTGTGTGAGTTCTTTATAGCGGTATTTCATGGAACAGTGTGTGATTCTAAATATAAAGGGTAAATCATAGGGTAATTCAGAAATTTCTCATCTATATTTGATCTGATTGAAATGAATGATTTACCCTTAGATTTGGCAAAAACTTTTGGCAAAATCACCAGAAAATTGGTAAACTATGGTGAAATCACCGATTTCACATGAGACAAAACCAGAGATTGACACATTGGATTTTACAGACACACCACGTGCTTTTTTCAGACAGACCTTCATACTCCTTGTTTATATATATATATGATATAGTATATATATATATATATATATAACATACCTTATTTTGATGTTCTACTTCGACAAGAAAGATGGTGACATATCTCGAATGATACAAATTGATGATGGGAAAACCGACTGCTGAAGAGTAGTTGCAGAGCTTTTTACCAGAAATTAGGGTACATATTAGCCTACCCTGCTTACACATCTTTTTTTTTTTGTGGTAGCCAAGATTAGCATGTTTTTGGGGTGATAATACCCAAGTTTAGCTCCTCAAACCAAGGTTGTCTAAATTGGAGGCGCCAGGTGCGATAGGCTTGACGTAGACGACGTAGACCTAGGCTGGATAATCGCAGCCATACACTTTTCATTTGTAGCATTTTTTTTTGGGGGTTAGATGGTGTCATCACATGTTCCATTGTCAACTAAGCTGTAGCTTATTGGAGTTTAGATGATGTCATCACATGTCCCACTGAAAGTCAAGAAACCATTAAGTACATCCAACCTGAACATATGGAAGACACATGAGATTTCCCACATGACAAGCCGACAAGCCATTGGTGGCTCCAAAGAAACACCAGCATTTTGTTGGTTCTTTCCCGATATTTCATCCCTGGTATGGTTTGTGAAGAATCACCATTTCCCTCACATGCTCATCAAAGTTTGGTAGTTCCATCAAAATTTGGTAGTTCCTTATTGGTTTGTTTAATCACCATTTGTTTAATCACAATTTTCTTATTTTTTTCAGGGTCAATCGGTTCCCATTTTTGGCTGTTGTTCAGGTCCCACATGTCCCACGGACTCCACTGGAGTCCCCAAATGAGGTTCGGATCGCTATCGCCCCGAGCTCTTAGACAAGATCACAATGCAGGAGCGCCGCAAATTGAACACCCGGCGAAGTATCGACATCAAGCGGCAAGTGGTGGGGTTATCTTTCATGAAATATTCAGGCGGAAGGCAAGTGGTTACTGGGGTCGGTGCTTTGCAGGGAGGCTTCACTGTAGCTCAGCACCAGCTTGTGCAACAGTATTGGAGGTGTTGAAGGGTTCTTCACTGGTGCAGTTTCTGGGCATAATCTCATCCACAATGAATTTCTGGAACCGTCGATTCCTACACGGAGGTTCCTTCAAAACAAAGAACGCATGCTGATACTGTTTCATTCTTCCTCTGACATTTGATTGAGAATCAGACAACTAAATTGTCCCTTGATGTTTCGCAAAAACCCTTCCAGTTGTTGATGATTAATATTACCCTCTGGTAAATAAACAGTTGGACCCTGAAAATCACCAATTTTTAATGGAAAAACCACAAAAAGCACATCTCCAGCCACGCCACAACGCACTCGCCGCAGGAGCAGTTTCCTCAGATGCCGCAGCACCAATTGGATCTGATCTTTGAAGACAGTGCCATCCAGATGCAAGCCCAGGCCAACAAAGACATCAACACAGAGACGCTTGGATTGGAATGGATTACCCTCTGGTTATTTAACATAGCCATGGGAAATGACCCATTTATAGTTTGTTTACCTATTAAACATGGTGATTCACAATGAGAGCAATGGGGGCATATTAAAATTTCAGATAAACCCAAACAGGGGATTTATATAAGTAACAATACCTTGATGGATTAGAATGAATTAGATCGCGGCAATCACTGAGGGAGATTAATGGCTTGAATGCCAACAATCAATGAGGAGTTATTTGATGAACACAGATATCAACACAGAGAAGCTTGGAATGGAATGGATTAAATCCAGCAGGGGTTACGGACTTCACAAGTAATACTTTGGGGCCAGGGTTTGACTGACAAGACTGCCGTGAACCTGGTGGCATTGTTGGTTGCAGTCCTTGATAATTGATTATATGGGTGCTTCTCAGAATTGGAGCACTCATTAATATAAATACCCATATATGTTTAATAAATATGTTTATGGGAACCTCCAAAATCATCGTATTATGGGTACCAATTGGAGTAGTGACCATTGGTTTTCCACATGAAAATATTGCCAAAGAAATACGATGATTTTGGAGGTTCCCATTTGGAGAACTTTCAAGGTCCAACTTCAAGGTCAGCGAGAAATGGTTTCGTCATTTTTTTCTGATTTGGAGTTATTTGACCATCCGGTTTCTATGTTTAAGAGAATATATTTTAACATGGGTCTTAACCATCTGAAATAGGCGGAGAACCACCACTTAATGGGAATATGATTAATGGTAAATAATGAAGATTTGCTTGTTGAGTTGAATTACTTACCTTTTAGTCACCTGGTGACCAAAGTCAGCTCGCAGTCCTTTGAGGAAGCTGGTGAAAATGGCCGGTTCTCTGATGAGCTCTGTGAGTGCCTTGGCTTCGCCACAAAAAATGGGGATCATCCAGCAACAAAAAATATGGGGATCTCAGAAGGGGCATCATCGATGCTGAGATTTTGGGAATTTCTCCAAGTGATTTTGGGATGATCGTGTTGCAAAATTGATTGCAAAAACCCATCAGGCAAACTACCTTGGGCCCTTGGGACGGAAGCCGCGTGGGCCAGCCTTGCTGGTCGTACTCCCAACTTTCATTGGCCCTAGCCGGAGACATGTCATCTACCATCCATGGATATTTTGCCCTTCAAATTTTTGTTCATATAGAATATATAAATATAAATCCCAGTGGGTATTGTCACATATCCTTTTTCATGGGTTGAATCTCTTTTCAGTTCTTAAATCCGGGTTAAATCAGATTAAATCAGATCCACATATTAAGCCGCAGATTTTTGACATTTATTTGGTAGGTCCAACCCGTTCAAGTATTCGTCAGTATTGGATCTGTTCATGAATTGGGGGCCATGAAAGGGGTGGTAAGGCTATATGAATCCCCGGGTCAGGTCGGTTGAACCATCTTAACCCCCGCAAATTGTATTTTTTTGCTGCCTACACCACACTTTTCCATTAGTTTCAGGCAAAACGGGATTAGTGCAGTAAACCCAATAATCCTCCCCAATTTCACCAGAAATGGATGCAGCATGTCGCTAGGCGGTGTCAACGACTCCTTAGCCGAGATGATGACAGAGGAGTCGAGGGATTCCCTGCTGGGAGCCTCAGAGGGTGGTGGAAGAAAAATTGGTGGATAGCATCTTCCAATATTTTCCCATTATAATACCATTATAATCCCATTATATCCCATTTATATCACATGATTATCCCCTTATCAATGATTCTAGATGACCGGAGAAGAATCGGGTTTATAATGTGGATAATCAATGATCAATGGGGATTTATCATGATTTGGAGGCGTCCTAAGTCATGGGGGTAGCCCTAAGTCATCCAATTTTTTTTCGACCATCTTAGTATTGAAACCAATGGTTTTGGCGATCCCCCATTTTGAGAAACCTGAATTTAGGGGATGGTAGCATGAAAATAGAGCAACATTTTGGAACAACAAATTGGAACATGGAACAAACAAAAAAAAAGATTTGAGCGACTTGCCAAGTTGAAGATAAGCTGGTATGTAGTTGATTCTTTGGGGTTTTCTTAAAATGCGGGTACCCTAATAGCTGTATGGTTTGTAATGGAACATCCTATTAAAATGTATGATTTGGGGGTACCCCTATTTCAGGAAGCCTCCATATACATTTAATTTGGAAGAATAAACATATTTGACATGGGGATTTGACTGATACTCGGGATAGACGGCTCATAGGTAGGAAGACCATGGAGAACCACCAAAAAATTAGGAGCTATTGAGGGTTCCATCCGGGGAAGAGGAAGGCTGCAACGAAGCCTTCCAGTAATCTGAACTGACAATATACAATCGCAATGTTTATGGGGAAAAACTATGATCAAATGACAAAACGGATCAAACAAAACGTTTTTTGTATTTTCATTCTTTGACAGGTTTGACTACCAACGGATATTCCTCCAGCAAGTAAGCTGCGAGTGGAGCATCTACCATTGTTTGAGGGTTTTCTGTATGGCATTAAATACAGGTCTACACTTCCAGCTACCTTTCCCGAAGGCTTTTGGTCAGGATGCGCTCGTTGGCAGTTTCATAGGGGTGATAGAACTAGAACTAGAATGTTCTATTTCACATTGTTCAATCACCAGTCAGTGTATGACCGACTGGAAAAGACTGTCACAGATTGCCAAACACTGTAATCATACAATGTCATCATCTACATTTAATTCTGTCACAATGACCATCATGACCATCATCTAATGGTAACACTGTCATTTCAATTCCCTTCTAATTCATCACCACCATCGTCACCATGACCAACACCACCATCATCACCATCTACAATGGCATTTTCATGGATCTTGAAGATGCCAGGACCTCCACACCTTTTTTTTTGGGGGAAGTATATAGATGGTTCATCAACGTTCATCATAATTTTCGCACTATTTTGCCGCTAAATGTCTGATATGTCATGGCAATTTGGAGAACAAATCCACAACAGTTCCATCTATTTCCTATGTTTTTCCCATGAACATGAGACACAACATGGATACTTTTGCCATATTTTCCCATCTTGGTCCATTTTTCCCGTTGATTTCCAAAGCCAAAAAATCTGGGGCACGTTTCCCCGAGGCAAAGCTGGGTAGTCGGCAAGACTCCAGGTGGTCGCTTGGTGATTTTCCAGATCAATAGCCTCTGGTTATGTCAACAGTTTGCTATTGAAGCCATGGCCCAGTCGATTTTTTGTGGATGAATCCCCATTGAAAATGCATGGTGATACAGAATACTGCGCCAGGTGGTGACTGGAACCATGGAATTTTATGACTTTTCACATATGGGATAATCCTTCTCATTGACTAATATTTTTCAGAGGGGTTGAAACCACCAACCAGGAAATATATCGTTTTTTTGGGTGGGGGTGGATTTTCCATTATAAACCATCCATTTATAGTAGGATTTTCCATTAACCATCCAGCTATTGGGGGTATTTCTATTTCAGGAAACACCCATATGAAATATGTTAAATAGGTGCATCCAATTTTTGTTAGAGTTTTTTTTTTGGCTGGCTTTGGATCAAAGAGGGTATGAGGGGTTAATATGTTACAACATGTTACAACTATATTTTCGTACTTCACAATTTCAGCTTTGTGGGTCAATAGTTTGTGCCAGAGCTAAATCGTCAGGATATCACCAAAGAGTATTTCTTTTGCGGAGGAAAACAAACCATCAAGGGCCAGCCAACAATCGCCATTCTTGGCTAATATTGCTGTTAGGATAGGGGACTGAACATCGATTGCCGAGGATGCTAACGATCACAATTCGGAGTCATTGTATGGGGATCATGTCCGGTAAATGCAGGTAGAAAATGCTCCAGTTTTGTTGGCGATTTATATCTTGCCGGTTTGGCAAGATAATACCCCCTATCCAAATCTGATGGCTTATCAAGGTTTTAGCAATCACATACCCTCTGGTAAACGTTTACATAGCTATTGAACATGGCCCATTTATAGTGGATTTACCCATTAAAAATGGTGGATCTTTCCATAGTTACGTTAGTTTACCAGGCCGGGTATGTCAATTTGGGTGTATCCACCATTTTCGGACACACCCACATCATTTTTTGGTTATATCTCCCATTAATAGCCCATGATATCTCTAAAAACTAGGTCAATCTTACATGGGTACTTTAATCCTTTAGTCTTTTGGTATTAATGGGAATATCTACTAACCAGCAAAGAATTTATTTTTTTTGCAGGGTATCTAAGATTGGCAATGAAAATATGGTTGATGATATAGACATATGAGCAAGAGGCTAATCTCTCCGTGTAGGAGATATGTATTCGAGCGATCTTTCATGTAAAAATATGCATCTTGATATGTAAAACTAGTGAAGTCCCAAAAACGATAACTTTGACCCGAAGATCGCATTTTTCAATTGAGGTTTTGCCGATCGCTCATATGTTTCTTCTTGTTACCCGGATAGACATCCAAGAATCCTGGTGCTTGGCTAAGGCAAAGCTGAAGGAGACCTGCAATACAAAGGCAGCAAACCCCCTAGGCCCTGGGGTCGGTGTTCAGGGGCAAATTGACTGGTTTAGAATGGAATATGATTGGTTTATTTGCCGGCACATACCCTCTGGTAAACGTTTACATAGCTATTGAAAATGGCCATTTATATATAGTGGATTTACCCATTAAACACGGTGATTTTCCATGGTTATGTTAGTTTACCAGAGGGTAATCCATTGATGGGATACAATCCATTCAAATAGATTGGCTCTATAATTCATTGGCGCCACATGGTGGCGTTTTTGTGTTGAAACATTTGGAACGGTGAAAAACATGGATGGCAACCCCTTGAAGTAGCAGGAAGGATAGGTTTTGTTCAGGACGGCGATTGAGTTGAACTATTGACCAATTCATTTACCCTCTGGTGATGACCAACATAGCCATGGTATAGATGGCCCATAGAAATAGATGGTTTACCTGGGGTGAGCTATTCAAAATGGTGATTTTCCATGGCAAACTGTTAGTCATAACCAGATGGTAACTCGGCCCCCGGTGATGCAGTGACGATGGTCATGGACAGGATCATCGGATTTATCCATGGATTTTTGCATAGTAAGCAAGGTGCGTTAACTTAAGCAAGTCGCCTCAGCAGTGCTCACCAATGTTGGCTTTTTGGGTAATGACTACCAAGTTACTAGGATCAAACAGAATCGTTGCTTTTACAGCTGGCTTTTCTATGTATAATCCGCACAACTGTACCCAGCTGTTAGAATGTTTTTATGGTCAAATGATAGTTTCAGTTCCAAGCGTGTTTCCCCACCAAGTGTGGCTGGGGTACCCTCAACATTTTCAATGGAACCTTAGGAACCTTATGCCATCGAAAATGCCTTCCTGAAGGGGGCAACGCAAGTGGTTTTTCACGCTGATGGCAACACAGTTGGACGTCTCCATAGGTCCAACGGCCGTATTAAAAAAGCAGCCAATTGATATATCGTACCCAGTGTATCCTAATGTACTATATATATATAAGTCATACAGTGATATATATATATATAATCTTACAGTGATATATATATATACATATATATATATATATAATCTAAGATCTACACATAAAAATATATATAATGATAATATATAGAACATATTCCCTTCTTATCAACTTTGACCCATTCTCATGCACTTAACTGCAACCCATTGAAGTCAAGCCCTTTGCCTTCATATTTTGTGGAGGGAGAAACATCCTTTTGAAACTTGTTGTGGAAAGCCAGCAAGCAACGTATAACCTCTCTGCAAATAAGAATCTTTATGCCTACACACAAAATCATGGAAGTTGGTTGGAGGAAAACCGACTGTGACTATTTTATTATCTTCAACAATTCTTTATTTCAATAAGAATTCCCAGGGTATTTCTCGATATTTCCCTTCTTTTTGTCAACAGGAAGGTTCCCAAGACCCGAAATACAAACTTCGACCTTAAACTTTACTAAATTTACTCAATTTATGTGAACTAATATCAACTTTGAAGATATCAATACGTATATTTATAAATTTATCAAAATTTCTTCTTACTGGTGCTTAGTAGGGCATGGATGGGTTGCTGGGGGTTGCTGGGGGTTGCTGGGATGATTATTACTAGTGATGACTGGGATCATTCCCTCATTCCTTGCGTTTAGCACCAGTAAGTAATTAATATGGGAATGTCATCATCCCAACTGACGAAGTCATATTTTTCAGAGGGGTAGGTATACCACCAACCAGTTGATGATGGGTTAGTAATGGTTAGTAAGTCTTCTGAGATCAAAAGTTTGACCATCCAAAGTTACCAGCCTCGACGGACTTCCATCTCTCGAGGCTGGTGGATCCCGTGAAGGTGGACAGCGTGGACAGCATCCCAGAGGGGCGCCTTGGTGAGATGACTTCTCCCTGGAAGTCATATAATTTACCTTCTGGTTATGTCAAAATAGCTATTGAAGCCATGGCCATAGAAATCGTGGATTTACCCATTGATAGCATGGTGGATCTTTCCATAGCTATGTTAAATTACCAGAGGGTATATATAATATACATCACGAAAAAAAGACGGTGTATTCCCTTATTTGGCAACCAACATTACCCGGTTTATCATGTGAACCATCCCAGCGAACCGACCATGATGAGGAGTCACAAACTGGCTGGCAGGCATAGGACTTGCAGCATTTTTCGTTCAGGACTTGAGATGCATAGTTTACCTAAATATGAATTTAAGAACCACGGGTTTCACCTGGTTTCACTACGTTTCAACATTAATAGTGTGCACCTGTTTTTTTTAACTCAATGGATTGGTTTAAGGGAACATTTACTGGTTTAAGCCCCATGATCTTCATGGGAAATCAATGGTTTCCGGTTAAGATTTTCCCACCAATCCATTGATTTACAGACTCCTTCTATAACTTTCCTCAGTTTTTTTTGGCTACTGTAGATGGTTTATCTATTAATAGCATGGTGATTTTCCATGGCGAACTGTTAGTCAGAAACGCAGATGGTTTTTACGGAATGGTTCTGCTGGGGTCATCGGGTCATCCAACGAGTTGCTGAGGGAAGAGGCTCTTTCGGAGAAAGAAGAATTGCCAGACCCCGATGAGGCCATACCCATTGAGGCGCCTTGAGTCCTCGCGTCGTGGAGTCGTGGAGAGTAGTAATGGCAACCCCGGATTTGGCAAAAAAACATGGTTTATGAGAATTAGGGGATAGCCTCCAAATAGTCACTTTAGATGGTACATAAATGGTACCCCCCCAATTAAACAGCCGTAAACGGGGTTTATTAATCCAGGGTTGACATTAACATGTAAAGGGTCAATATGGGTCAACAATCTTGTAGTAAAAGACTAAAAAAGAGGCTGAACAGTATGATCTGCCACTATTTGCGTATTTACATTTCTATTTGTTTGGGGGTTACTATCAGTGAAACAAATAGTAATATGAACTGATCATCATTAGCAATAGTGATGATAATTCGTGATAAAAAATAGGAACAATCACAATCTATTTTGGAAGAACGGAGTATCTGTTTATGAGTTTTTTGGAAGTTGGGTGGAGCATAGTTTATACGCTGTTTTCTTTTGATCTAGTGGTGCTTAGTAGTGCTTCCAACATGACGACGTTTACCCCATAAGTTGGGGGAAGCCTGTTCTTTGCCTTTCGGATGGGTGTGATTCTTAGAGAAATGGAATAGCTGGTTGGTGGTGACTGGAACCATGGAATTTTATGACTTTCCATAATATATGGGATATTCCATGGTGTTTTTTTTTTTTCCATGGGATATTCCATGGGATATAATCATCAATCATGGAACCATGGAATGGATTATGAATTTTATGACTTTCCAGAAACAGTTGGGAGATCTTCATCATCCCAACTGACTTTCACTCACTCCATGATTTTTCAGAGGGCTGGGGTAGGTCAACCACCAACCACCAGAATTTCTGCCGGTGAATCCTCTGGGCTCAACCACCAACTAGTTACCCTCTGGTTATGACTAACAGTTTGCTATTGAAAGTGGCCATAGAAATAGTGAGTTTTCCCATTAAAAATGGTGGATCTTTCCATAGTTAGGTTAGTTTACCAGAGGGTAACTTGTATGTTCTGAGTTATACTTCCATTTCAGGGAATTTCACGCTTTGGATTCTTAGAGTCTTAGAGTCATAGAACTAGCTGCTATGTTCTCTCTGGTTCCTATCCCCAGCACCCTAAAAAAAGCGCAGGAAGAATGGAAGACTCTGTGGCTGCGAGAAACTGAGACGATGATGAAGGCACGCTGCGGATCTCAACATCGCTGCGGATCTCAGTTGCCAAAGCGGCCGATCAATGGTCATTCCAGGATCCAATACATGGAGGTACGTAAACGTACCATATTTCTGGCCATATTTTGGGGGTATATCCCCTTACATAGACCTGAAAAATAGGCCTTTTTTCTATGGTAGGTACCTTCAATGAATCGGTTCCTGTTGCATGGCCAGTGACAAGATGTTTCGATCTAGATCGGCTTTGGATCTCCAACCTAAATATATACCAGCATTTGTTGGGTGGTTATAGATAGGGTAGATCAAATTGGATTACAATAGAACAGATTATATATATATCTATATAGATAGAATTAGATAGATATAGAAATTTTCGAGTTCGTAGAGTCACAACATTTCTATAGTGTATCTATCTATATAATCTGTTTGAGTTTATATACATATATATATAATCTATATATTTCTATACTATAGTAACTATAGGTTCACAACATCACAGCATTTGAGTTCCACCTAAATCTGACGTCAGGCGCAAAGGAGTTGGCTGGTGAATGCCTCATGGCATTTGGATCAGCCTCCTGGCCTAATAAGATGGGTAGCTAACTTGTGGAGGAATTCATGGATTTATATGGATTTATATGAGAATTATATGGAAATTATATGGATTTACAATGATTTATATGGATTTATATGGATTTATATGGATTTATATGGAATTAATGAGATTTACTTGCGGGATTTTGTGGGATGTTATGGGATTTTCTGAGATTGTCATGGTGATTTGTGGGAATTTAGCTAACAACAATTGTGGGATTAATAGGGATCTTAGCATCTCCGTTCGGTACGGTTGGGCGTTCAGAACGCGCGTTTTAAAAACTCGCGTTCCAGAACGCGCGTTCTGAGTGAATCCTTTTTTCCAATGATATAAAGTTAATTTATTTCCGGGGTTTGAACAGAGAAACCTTTTCCCCCCCAACTAAAAAAGGATTTCAAGAGCTCTTATGGGCTCAAACTTGTGGATGAAGCCACCAGAAAGTAGATCTTCCCAACTCCGGATCCTTTTTTGGCTGAAGCAAAAAAGGTTCTGGCCTCACCAGGTTTGTGGGCAAGTTAGGTTTCCTTCCTGGATCCTTTTTTTCTCTGAAAGAAAAGGTTCTGACCTCTCACAAATTTTATCGTAGTGCTATTAACAGAGGCCCAAGACGAAAAAATATTGAAAAACTCTATGTGACACAGCGGATCCTTTTTGCAAGGAGCAAAAAAAGGATTGGGAGGCTTCTGGAGCCAAAAACCACTATAACCCCCCCCTGCGTTCGGAACGCGCGTTCCGGAACGTACGTTTTGCGTTCTGCGTTTTGGCCGTGCTAAGATAGGGATATAATAGGGACATTAGTTGATATATGATATATGATGGTTCAAATATTAGTCATACTAGTAATTGTTTAATTAGTATAGTAGTTGTTGATGTGGTTTAAACCCAATAATCTCCAATAATTGTCAGTATGATGGGCTAATAATGGTTAATCATGGTCCAGAGTGGTTAAATGGGATATTTAACTTACCCTCTGATAGTCAAACATGCTCTTCACATTTGTGTTGGTTAATGACATGTTTTTTGGGTACATGTCAAGGATTCATGATCGTACATATTAGTGAATGATGGTTAATGGTGATTTTTCAGCAACAAAAACTGTGTTTTTTATTGTCCATGGAATAAACAAACATATAAAACATCATATAACATATTTTTCAGCATTTTTTTAAAAAACATATTCCACGGAGATTTCTATTGCACATATCCCACGATCATTCAGGGATAGGATTCAGCTAAATTTCCTCCAGAAAAAACCATTGTTGGCCAACATGTAAATTCAGGATACTCTCCGGTAATCAAACGTGGCAATGGAAAATCACCAATCTATCGTTGATTTTCCCATTAAAAGCTCCATTTATAGTGGATTTCCAGTTGCCGTGTTTGATTACCGGAGGGTAAATAAGAGAATTGGCTTTTGACCAAACAAGGCAAACAACAATCAGGGTTGCTCCAAGCCAGAATAAGGACATTGTAACTACGTTTGGTCATTTTACCTTTCTAAACCATATGGAATCGGAAATGGGACATTCTAAGTCCTGCAAGAAGATCATCTCCAATTGGCTAAGAGGAATTCATTGCGACTTTGCGGATTCCCAAAGAGTACATCCTGGTAAATGAGCAGCGTTCAAAGCCCCAGTTGATTGATGATTAGATTGGGTTTTACTATCCTATATATTGTGGATTATCATAGTCCATTATGGGACATCCTGCCAACCAAAAAACATTTTCATATGGCTATGAGTCAAAACGTGGTACCCGGATGGTATCCGATGATAGTCGGTTAGATGTTTATTCCACTTTCTTCCCCCAAATACCGGGGGAAATGGTTTTGACCTATGGCCCATATGTGTTCATCAACAAAACGTTGGAGTTTTACCCAATTCCTGGTTACCCGCCTGTAAAAAAGCCACTGGAAAATCAGCTTCTACAACTCTACCAGAGCAAAATCATGTCATATATATATATATGGATTGCATAACAATTTCATAACTGTAACATAGCCGGAACAATCATAAGCTGGCGAACATTCACAATTTCCTGAGCAAATGTTCGATGAAACAGATGATACTCCCATTTATGATCTATCATATATATATATACACATATATTAAATATCTCTTTCTCTCTCTCTATATACTGTACATATCTGTATATCAACAAATAAATCAATGAATTAAATTAATCAATTAAATCAATAAATACATAAATAAATAAATATATACATATATCGAGATAATAGTCCCAAAATGTCACCCTTAAGACTTGGGATTTAATCCCCCACTTTCGTTTGCCATTTCGGGTACAATTCCGACATCCCAAGTGCGTTGCGCAGCGAGGTTGAATGCTGTCTTGAAGCAAAGGGCCAAGTGTGGGATCCTGGTCATTGCAGGGATTTGATGGGAGGTTATGGGAAATTAGGGTACTTAATCCGGCAATCATCCATAATCATCCATTTCAGGTGGATAGGGATATATCATGCATACACATGCGTACTCTCTCTCTCTCTCTCTTTCTTTCTTTCTTTCTCTCTCTCTCTCTCTAGATAGGTAGATGGATGGATGGATTAGATTAGATTAGATTAGATTAGATGAGATGAGATGAGATGAGATTAGATCAGATTAGATTAGATAGATAAAAAGATAGATAGATAAAGAGATAGATAGATAGATATAGATAGATAAAGAAATAGATAGATCGATAGATCGACAGATCGATAGATCGATCGATAGATCGATCGATCGATAGATCGATAGATAGATAGATAGATAGATCCATAGGTCGATAGATCGAAAGATCGATAGATAGATAGATCGATAGATAGATAGATAGATCGATAGATAGATCGATAGATAGAAAAATAGATCGATCGATAGATCGATGGATAGATAGACAAACAGATAGATAGATAGACAGATAGATAGATGGACAGACAGATAGATAGTGTGGACAGATAGATAGATAGATCGGTCCATCGATAGATCGATAGATAGATAGATAGATAGATCGATAGATAGATAGATCGATAGCTAGCTAGATAGATCGATCGATCGATAGATAGATCTATATAGATTGATCGATAGATCGATAGATCGATAGATAGATAGATAGATCGATAGATAGATAGATCGATCAATAGCTAGCTAGATAGATCGATCGATAGATAGATAGATCGATCGATAGATAGATCGATCGATAGATCGATAGATCGATAGATCGATAGATAGATAGATAGATCGATAGATAGATAGATCGATAGATCGATCGATCGATAGATAGCTAGCTAGATAGATATCGATCGATCGATAGATAGATAGATAGATCGATAGATAGATAGATCGATCGATAGATCGATAGATCGATAGATCGATAGATAGATAGATCGATAGATAGATAGATAGATCGATAGATAGATAGATAGATCGATAGATAGCTAGATAGATAGAGTGTATTGTATATACAGAACATTGAACCAAGAATGCAAGTTCCAAAGGTTTCAACTGGCGCAACTTCCCACGCCTCGCCCTGCGCGCCTTGAGGCAGCTGGGTGTGAGCGGCAAGGTGCTGCCGAGCAAAGGAACACCGGCGAAGGTGAAGGAACCGGCCGCCTTCAGCACGTCACCTGGACGGGAGAGGGGGTAGAGTGGGGTGAGGGTCTCAGGTGAGGGATGAGTTTGACAGTTTTTTTTTTTTTTATATTATAGAAATAATCATAAATAATCTACAATATGTTTTTTTTGGGTGTTGCATATGATTGGGATGATGATCCCTAATAATGTTTTTGTAAAAAGGATTGAAACCATGACTTTCTTCAACAGTCTCATAAACTAATTGAGAGGTAACTTCCTGGGTAGATATGTTGATTTGGTTCTGTCTCAGTGAGGTTTGGGTTAGCAGGAATTGTGATAGTCTATGATAGGACCCCCTATTTGAGCCGGATTGAACCAATACAGCCAGTACTGTAGTACCACTCCATAAGAGGAATTGAAACTAACTTAATTGATACTCTCTTGCGTCTGAGTAGTGACCATGGTTCGAAGTTCAAACCCAAGCAGCAAAAGTGGGGTTGGGAACTCGATTAGACGCCCGGATTTTTTGGGACGTTTTGCCATCATCACCTAAAATTCTGAAAGCCCTGCAGTATGAAATGCTGATGAACCCCCACAAGAATAATTATAGTCTTTATATAGTGAAGAAAAAGGAAACTGAAAAGATGCGGAAACAACTGCTAATATTTTGGCTGGGCCAATCGTGGGAAGCGACCAGTAGTTGGTTGCGGTTTGCAACACTGTCCAGATGCTTCTGATCATTGCAAATCGATCATCCTGAATTGATCATCATAAATTAATCATCCAACTTATGATCAATCGAAATTGATCATCCGGAATTGAACTGTCATGCAATTAAATCCTCAATGATCCAAGATGCGTTTGGGATCCATTTATTGTGATTCTGACTTTCTTTTGGACTTCTGTGGGTCTTGCTTCACAGGCTTTCCATGAAGAGGGACCCGGTTTTGAGCAGTCCATAAGTGATGGTTGGGAGTCAGGAGAGTAACAAAAAGAAGGAACTCATCAGTTTGAATTTGAAGACAATATTCCTGATGAGTTCCTTCTTTTACAACTGATAGACATAGCCAATAGATAGGTTATATCTAGTTACGACAATCTTCCGCAACCAATAGGGAAATGATACAAGCGATTTAGATAGACATCACCAATCGTGGATGGGATCTATTACATTCAATCCCCAAAAATTCCCAAAGGCTCCATATTTCCACATTTGGGTAACGCCAGTATTTCGCAGATGTTGGTACATATTCATGACATCCAATTATTGATGGTACATAATTATACTCATTTTCCATTTTCATAGTTATACTAGACAAAAATGATGGTACATAATTATACTAGACCAAAAAGAATCCCATGAAATCCAATTGAACCCCAACCTGCATGAATTCCCATCCTCCACCAAGGCTCCGGGCTACATCGTAGCGCGGCGCCAGGTCGTAGCGCGGCTACGACCCACAGTTCCCAAAAACTAGCGACGTAGGGTTCGACGTAGCGAACTCGCCCCTCCCCTCAAGGGGAGCGGAGCAGGCAGAGCCGCAGCTGATTTCGTAACCGATGTGCCAGGAGAAATGGGAGAAAGCTCTTAGGCAGATGGATCATGTGCATTTGCGAAAAATGGGAATTTCTGAAATTGGATTAGCAAAACCCATGGGATTGGCCTATAAAATGGTCTAATTTTGGATGATTTGGGGGTTACCCCCATTACATCATTACTTTGGAAACCTCGATACGACATGGAAACATGATGGGGCAATATGGATTGCTGTATTTATTATAATATACACATATGGAAAATGACCAGTTTTGAGTTTCAGGTAAAAACACGGAGATATTGAAGAAAATCATGGGGGAAAAGGTAATGAAAAAACAGTTGGGATCTTATATGGCAGTGTGTCAAAACCTTGTACCCCTTCTGTTCACATCAAAATAGCTGGGATTTATGGATGTTCATCCCACTAAAAATGGTTTCTATAGGTATTGACCCATAGCCATATCTTATCAGATGCGTCTTGCGGCGGAGGTGCGGTCCCAGGGTTGCTACATGTTGCCACCATCTACGAATAGTTCAACGAATAAGCTTATAGCAATCCGCAAAAAGATTCAGAAAATACTACAAAATCAGTGGGGAAAAGTGTTTCTATCTTTTTTGGGGCACTAGAAGTGGTATTTCATTGGCCCATCTATATTATTTTTCTCAAGAGGACATCACAGGTATTTTCTGTTTGTTCTTTCAAAGACAAGACTGTTGGTACATAGAACACTATCCAACAAAATTTGGAACACTAGCACCATTTGAATTGAGTTGAAACGCGTGAAACCAAGTTTTCCAGGAAATGACATGATCATCCCCAATGTTTCTCATATTTTTCTGAGGGATTGCTCGACCAGGAGGTCCTCTTTTGGTTTTCCTCTCCAACTGACCAGCTAGAATTGATGGAATTTCAGGCAACTTTGAAATTCTAAACATGTGGATGATGACCCATATGTTTTTTTTGTTTTTGGAACTTTGAATTGGAACATATTGGAACCATCAACTTGATGGTTCCACCATCAACCAGATAAAACTGAAATCTTTGAGAATACATCCGTAACTCATCCGTACACCCAGACGATGACCGTACCTCCAACCTTTTCCTCGTCTCACACCGACCGCCTCCAAAACCGGCTGGAGCAACCAGCCGGGCAAATCCGGTCGCTGCCCGCATCAGTTTCGCATGCGGAAAAATAAGGGGCTACCAATGGGCCCACAAACTTGGCAATTTGGAGAACAAAACAGTTACTTACCATGAAGGAAAGTATAGTTTCTATATGTTTCTATCTTTTTTGGGTTGCAAGAATTCCCTTTCAGTGGGTGTGAAACATTTTGAGTAGCCCTGAGTAGCCAAATGAGGGAGAGTTCTAGGCAAGTTCGTTGGATCCCTATAAGGTTGGCTGCAGCTTATATGCCCATGGGTATTTTCGTCATGAGTCAAATTGATGTCCTGTATATTATTGCGTTAGCATTCGTGTTTGTTTACATTCCCATTTTCTTTATCCATGATGTCAGATGGTTTGAATATGTTTCAATTCACACTGCCTTCCGCACTTATTACCTTTGACAGCCAAAAATACACAAAAGCAGGTCACTTGCTGACCCATTTTCGGCCTCACTCTACAGTCTGACACTACACAGTACCCTTGGAAATAGTTATGGAAAAACCATTGTAACCCACGAAAATTAGATAGCTCTTATTAGCTTTCATTGGTTGAGTTTCTAGATTTATTTTGAAATCCTCGAGGGTGCATATATGATCATATATGTATAGTATATAATTATATATATATATATAATGGGCATATATCCATGATTGTTGGTAGTTGCGGGGTCTGTGCTATCTTCATACTTCGTAACTGACCTGCGAAATGCGACTGGAGCATTTTGGACCACATCAAGGCAGCTTGAAGGCCGTCCACCTTTTAGGGGATCATTCCCAGGTGGAACACAGGAATTCTGAAAAATGGCCATGCTGGACAGGATCCGATTCATTGGAGGTACCGATTCGAAAAAAGGCCTATTTTTCAGGGCTAAATTTCAGGGAATATCCCCAGAAAATATGGCCTCAAATATGGTACAGTACCTCCAATGAATCGGATCCTGGAGATCTCCCATTGAAGAAATTCTCACCCCAAAGATTCTTTGGAATCTGACATTGACATCTTTGACATTCTGGTGGTCGGAATTTTCCTCGTTCGAAACCGAAACCTGGCGGCATGGATTCTCCAATAGCCACATCCATTCTGATTGTGATGATATGTGATGAATGAGATGTTTTTTTTGGGTAGGTTCCATTTGAAATAAGAATCATTATAACCATAACTACAACTATAGTATACCTGTGAACTATGAATAACTATAATACTATCCCGATAGTTATAGTTATATAGTTATAGTCATGGTTATAATGATTGTACTTATAGTTATAGCCATACTATTATAGGCTATTGTATATAGTATCCCTATAGTTGTAGTTATAGCCAGACTTTGCCCCAGCGGTTTTTGCGCTTCGCACCATGGCCTGTGGCGTGGAGCAGTTTTTCGTGCTGCCGTCCTTGGCCTTGCTGGGTGCGTCGGCCTGGGGGTTAGGCTACCGTGCCTTGGTGATCGAGAAGCCCGTCTCATAGACCCAACCTGGTTATGACTGTGCCATAGCCATGGTTTTTCGATGGCCCTAATCGAAATAGATGGTTTACCTATTAGCATGGTGGATCTTTCCAATTGTTCAATGGGCAATTTGCTAGTTTCAATCCAAGCATAGTTAAAAAAACATGTTTTTACTTGATAGTTACAGTCCCTTTTTTTGGGTATTTTTGGGTGCTTGAATCCTGAGTAGCTAAAAGTTGCTGATTCTCCCACTATTTCTTCGTTGAATCCCTAGGCTTTTCACAGAGCACCTTGGGCTCGCAGCGTGAGCGCGAGCGGAGAAAGCGAAGGGCGGGGGAAAGCCTGGGCATTGCGCAGGCAGTTGTGGGTGGAGTGGGCGGGGGGACATGATTTAGCCATGAAACATGTGGAAAATGGTGGTTTTACCACGGAAAAGTGATGGTTTTATGATGTTTAATGTGATTTGAACCAGGAAATTTGATTGTTTAATGGGATTTGAATGGGATTTGAATGGGATTTGAATGTTGATCAGTTACTTAGCCGTTGGGAATCAACCGTGACTGGGAAATCTCCGATCAAAATGGAGGTTTTCATCTCCAAGAATGGGGATTTGGCCAACTAACAATGGTTAGCATAATTGGTTAATGCTGGTCGACAGCTGCAGTGAAACTATGGATACTGGGTAACCAAATATACAGCAGATTACAATATATACATACATATTATCTACATATTATATACATATTATATACATATTACATGTGTATATATATATACATAATATATACATATGGGTGTGACTTTGTGCGAGTGCAACTTCATGTGGATGCACTTTCCTCGTTTTTTCATGGACCTCGCTGCAAAATCCTCATAGTAATTGATTGGGAAACTCAAGGCAGCCCACAATTGATGGTTTACCATAGAAA